CTGATACCACATCTATGCAGATCACGAACCTTTTGAAGTCTCTTTTTCCTGAAGTGAAGACGGAAAAAATAGAATCCAAAAATTCGAATATATATGCGTCTTTTAAGGTTACAATTCTACAGAAAAATTTCAATAAAGCAATGGATGCCACCGTGTGGCCAGTAAATACATGTGTAAGGCGTTTTTTATACCCAAGGAGCCAAAATCCTCGAGTAACAAATTAGGATTTCAACCATCACTTTTGCTTATTAATATTCAGACTCTGAATAACTCAAAAATTGGCGAATTGGAAGTGTTTCTCAATGAATTCAAGGACATAAAATTGATATGTATAAATGAAATCTGTGCTTTCAAAGATTCGATTCTACATCTGAATATAAGTGGTTTTTACCTAGCAAGTGCATTTTGCCGAACTCATACAAGAGGTGGAGGTGCTGGAATCTGGTGTCGCCAGGATCTTCAAACAAAGGAGATAAGTCTAAGCGATTTGTGCGTTGAAGGCGAATCTGAAATTTGTGCCGTTCAATTTAGAAATAATAATAACCAATTATTCATTGTTATTTGTTGCTATAGACCACCAAGTGGTAAATACCATGTTCTTGAAACGCAAATGATTAGGGTTATGGAACGTCTATATAGAACAAACATAAAATTTATATTATGTGGTGACTTCAACTTGGATTATTTGAAACTGGGAAGTAAGTACCAAAGCTTTGCAAATTCGTTGCTTCAATTTAATCTTGAAAACATTGTTTTTTGGCCAACCCGGGTAACAGATACTACAATTTCTTCTCTGGATCATATTTACCTAAATTTCGAAAACAAAGGTTCCAGCTGCGTCCTTGATTTTCCACTCTCTGATCATAGAATTGTTTTATCAGAAGTCGATTTTGGTAACACCGAAAGCGCGGTTAATTCTTATCACAGTCGATCATTCAACGAACAGGCAATTGAAGCTTTCAGACAGGACCTGATAGGTGAAGACTGGTCATACTTGTACAATATGACCAACATCAATTCTGCTTTTGAGTACTTTCATGACATATTTCGTCACTATTTCAACATAAGATTTCCGTTGCTTTTACGCTTTCCAAGACAAAAATCTAAAAACTGGGTAACTTCAGATGTAAAAAAATCGAGTCTTGATTTAAAGGAATATTTTTGGATTCAGAAAAAATATCCTGAGTTTAAAACCATCTATCTTCAGAAAAAAAATACCATAAACTCCTTATCAAAAACAGCAAGAAATTTTTTTACCAGACTAGAATAACTTCTAGCAATAACTTTGTTCGGGAAACTTGGAAAATAGTGTCTGAGTTACGAGGATCCAACTCTCGAAGGTTGTCAAATCTCGAAGTTACTGCTTCTTCTGGGGTTGTGTCCAATAACCCAGATATTGTCTCCAAAGAATTTAATCATTTTTTCATAAATACTCCCCAAAACTTGGTAAAGAAAATAAATCTGGCAACTACTAATTTTGACTATGTTTTAAATAAAGATATCTCACAATTCCATTTGTACCACAGCCTCCTACATTTAACAAGCCATGAAGTTAAAAAGGCAACACCGCAATCTTACCGCCAAGTGGTGCTGGTGGTGTTTGTTTGTGTAAATATATATTTTTTATTTTATTAATATGAATCACAAAAAATGCATAATTTATTGTACTAAAGGGCCAAAAACAGTAATTCAATGAATAATTTAACTATTTGTGTAAATAAGAACAGTAAATAATTGATTTAAATGAATATATTTCTAGAGTCTAAAGGGTTATGTTTCAGTATGTCTTTTGAAAATCTAACTTTTTCTTTCTTCGGGATTTTTTCGGAAGGCAAGTCCATTCAAATACTTCAGCTGATTTTCGAAAATAAGAGGTACCTGGTACCTACTTTTAAGAGTTGGACGTTTTAGTTTGAACTCTCGAACTACGCCTTTATCCTTGTTTGTTTCAAATCTAATTATTTCGGTTTCTTCAAAATGCTTACAACACACCACAGAATTTTTCGTTATTGTATAATCTCGGGTATAATTATCTTGGTGTATTCCTTTCATCCACATTTTTTGCACTTCAGAATTTTTTTGGAAATAAAAATGTTTGCATTTCTTCAGTTTTTAAGGAACTCCTAATAGTTCGATTTGCACCCAGGAACACAGTAGTTTCATGGCCTCTGGAACAAGTTTAAATATCTTAGGTAATATATCGAGACCTATGCTCTTGCAGACAAATATTAATATTGTTTTTATTGTTTTACCTTACGTTACCTTCATTTTTGCTCCTGTACTCATTTGCTAAAAATTAGCAATCAAAGCACAAAGGAACAGGTATCAACTAAATATGGGCAATATATTGGTGTGTTTCTATCCACTTTTTCGTCAATAATGCCCATAAAAGTACTAAATTGCAACAATACACAATGAAACCAATACACAGAAACACATAACCCAATAACAAAATAGCACCATACGCGACGTTGCCGTCATTTCCAACTTCATGGCTTGTTAACTATAGGAGGCAGTGTTTGTACCCATTCACAGAATTTGAATTTTTTGAGTTAATGAGAAAAAAACTGAACAACAAAAAATCGTCTGGGCTGGACGACATTCCCGCATTTATGATAAAAAAATACCTTCCATTTATTGATAAAACCTTTCGTTTTTCTAATCAATTTAAGCTTTTGCGAAGGTCGATTCCCAGACAGATTAAAAACAGGTAAAGTCATACCAATACATAAAAAAAATAATAAACAATTACTGGAGAATTATAGGCCAATCACGATGACCTCAGTTTTCTCGAAGGTGTTTGAGCATTGTTTTTTGAACAGATTTTTATTGCATCTGGATTCAGGCAATTTGATGTCAGATACACAGCATGGATTTAGAAGCGGGAGGTCGACTAACACTGCAATGGTGGCCATGTACGAATCCTTGGCGGATAGCATTGACGCGGGCGAGTGCCCTGTTGGGATCTTCTGCGATCTCAGTAGGGCATTCGACTGCGTTGATCACAATATTTTGGAGAGAAAGCTGTGTAGATTGGTTTTGGTGGAAGCTGGAGCAAATGGCTAAGATCTTTCATGTCTGACAGACGCCAGTATGTTACAATTGTCAACTTGAGCCAGGGTAGGCAAAGATCAATTAACTCTGAGAATTTGTCTGTGTCGCTGGGTGTACCACAGGGCTCAGTTTTGGGCCCTGTGCTATTTCGAGTGTACATAGATAAAGTTGACAGTTCTGTTCCTCAGGGAAAGTGCGCAAAGTATGCGGATGATGTCGGTACCACTATTTCTGATCTAGATCAAGCAAGCTTGAGATCAAAATGTCATACTGCAATGTTATCCTTAAATGAGTGGTTTTCAAATAACTCTCTCGTGTTTAATACAGAAAAAACAGTACTTATGCAATTTCATAACCATCAGAAATTAATTACCACACCACTTAGTGTGAATGTGGGTGGTCACGTGCATACTGTCTCTGAAAGCACAAATTTCTTGGGAATTGTGCTTGATAAAAATTTAAACTTTAAAGCTCACTGTGATGGGCTCATACCGAAATTAAATTCCTTATCGTTCAAACTACGAAATTTAAGTTATATTCTCACTGTAGGCCAGTTAAAAGCAATCTACTGCGCGGAAGTGGAATCAAGGTTGCGTTACGGTGTCTGTTTATGGGGTTGGTCAACTAACGCCAGTCAAGTCTTTTTAGCACAAAAATCTATTTTAAGAAGTATGACAGGTATAACCTATTTGGATTCATGTAAACCATACTTCACAAAGCTTGAAATCTTGACATTACCAAGTCTATATATTTTTGAGATATGTGTCTACATTTTCAAAAACAAAAATAAGTTTCCTTTAGTCAGTTTTGTTCATTCAGTTAATACGAGACAAAAGAATACTCTCCATATCCCGCTGGCGCGTGGACAGATTGCGTTCAAAAGTCCAAATGTTGTAGGACCCCGCTTCTTTAACTTGTTGCCATTAGAAATTAAGGAAAGTAAAACATGTACTGTATTTAAATCTAGTCTTAAAAAGTTTTTAATCTCAAAGTGTTTTTATAGTGTAAACGAATTTTATTGTTAACCGTTATTGTCTCTCTCTTTTATGACTTTTTTTTATATATTTATATATTTCTGTGCTTGTGTGAGTGCATGTATTCTGGGTGTGTGTGTGTCTGTCTGTGAATGCTTTCTAGTATTAGTTTTTAGATTTAAATTATCGCTTGACTATTCCTAATACAATGTATAAAATTGTCAGAACAGGAAATAAAGAATTTTGAATTTTTTGAATTTTGAATTTTGAATTTTCGAGATATTTAGAAAAAACGGAAGTTAGTTTTTTGAAAATAGGCTGTAAATCTTTTATTTTTGAAAATTTATCAAATCTGCAAAAATACTTTCAAAGCAACTCTTTGTGCAGAATATGCATGAGCAATTATATTTTTTTAGCACATTTCGGTTTTCTGGAACCATAATCAACTTCATTATTTCTTATAGCCTCCATATTGGATTTCTATACCATAAAATAGAGTGAAAAAATACAAAATCAATGATATAATACACTTGACCAAAATAATTAATTTTGGCCATAGAAATTACATTTTTATGTTTTGATCAACTTGGCAACGTCACATTACAGAATATTTAGTATAAGGAAGTAAATTAATTTATAAATACGAATAAAAACAATAAAAATTGATGTCAGGAGACTGAGCTGGCCAAAAAGTGGACTGAGATTAGCAATTACACTCTCTCTAAATGTATCGTATAAAAATTCCTGAACTTGGGTAGTATGAGCACGGCAACTGTCTTTTATATTCTTGCCTTAATTATTGTTTGTCTGTAATTGTAGATGCAGAAATCGCAGAATGTTGTAATTTTAGTGGTTTTTTTATTTTTAAGATTTTACTACGATACTGACTTGTGTAAATACTATTTTCTGTAGGAGCACCAATACACTAATAAATGATTTTGATTTTGAAACTACTTTTATATTAAAACTTACCTGTAATTTATTATTCAATAAGTCAATGGCCGGCGTTAACTTGTTAGACAGAATAACGTATTCACAATTTTTGGCACCATCCGGTCCCTTACAAGCGATCTGCCATAAGTTGCAACAAATGATCAAAGTTCTAAAATGTAAAATTTGAATAATTAGACATTTAAGTTCTTCCTAAAAAAGTCCAATATATCTTACTTTACAGATACTGACTGGTTCCCATCAAGTCCTAAAGTAAGCAGCTTGCCTAAAACACCGAAACCGCCAACGCTTTGGAACATAAGAATGTCGTTGCTGTTGCCTTTGGTCAGTAGTCTAGACAATTCGTTCAATATTCTATCTAATTGACTTAGACTTGATGGTGAAAGACCTGAAAGAATTAAAATAACAAAATTATCAAATTGATATCTGACAAGTATGAAGAAAGGAAATACTGAATGTCACAAAAAAAAAATCATGAAACTTTGCAGCCCTTATGATGGTGTGGAATATAATGGAACATCGTAATCACATATATTATTAGAACTGCTCAGAAGGCTTAAAACCAATTTTTTATTCCAATATAGGAAAATCTATATTCGATTTCTAGCAAACTTCAATGAAGTCAGCAAATGTAATTTTACACTTTCACTAAACATCAGTATTGGCGATTATAACGGCCGATGAGGGCGCTGCGGAACGTAAACAAATATGGAGGAAAGCGCGTATAAAATTGCGGCTCCTTCTATGTGCCTGCATGCGGACCACGCCGCAGTTGTTATTTTGCTCCCATTCAGTGTGAAGGGCCGCTATTATTTACCAGCTTTTTGTGTATTGAGATTAATTTTTGCAAGTTCCCAAACTATTTTCATTTGAAAACTGTCGATTAGTGTCCTTTAATTTGTGTGAAATCAGTGTAGTGATTCTTCCACCAACATGAATCAGGAAGTGTTTGTAACCTTATCGTCTGTGTTTTCCTATCTTCAATCGACTGCAGATAGCAGATGCATTGTAGAAGGTGAAGCTTTAATGAATGCCAAACATGTAATTTTGATTGGTACGACAGGTGAAACAGAGAGTTATGTGGAGATACTTGCACTTTGTCTTCAAACAAGTGCCATCAAGAGTAGCCCCCATAAAATCAAAGGAAAACTGGTCAAAGACGACGACAAAATAAACATTGCTAAGTTTATATGCAGCTGCAAAGCAGGTTTATCTGGGACTTGCAAGCATATTGCTGCAGTTCTTTTACAATGTACAAGGTAAATTGAATACATAATACAGGGTGTCCGAAAATAGCTTGAAAGCCTTCAACTACATTGTAGGGCATCCTTTTAGAGCCCCCATAAAAATAATTTGAAAAATCCTTCTTGATCATTATTTGTATTATAAAGTAGTAAATGTGGAGATTCAACTTCCTTATTTTTAATTTTTTTTTCAAATTGCAGTATTTGCTACAAAAAAATAGCTATCTTTTTTTTGATTTAAAATATAATGATTTATGGAAGTTTGTTATTACCTTAATTTAATTGCAAAATCTCTAAAAATTGACCTGAAAACATTTTTCAGTGCAAACATTTACAGTATCTAATTCCCAAGGTAATTACATATTCAACAACCTAATTCTGTGACAAATTGCTCCCTGTAGGTAAACGGATTACGGAGTACCTGCTATGTCTTACCTGTTGCAAGTAGGTACATGATTACTGGAATAGAGGTAGCTCTAAGTTACCACAAGGTAGTATTTTGATTGTTGCCAAATTTAGTAAACATTGAAATGCTAATAATTTTCTCAAGAATGCCACCAGATTTTTTAAATTATTTTTCTGGGGTACCTTGAAGGGACCTCCACCACATAGTGACAAGATTTTGGGCTATTTTGCGGACTACCATTTATTTTTTAAATTTTAATGAATTTGTTTAATAAAACTAATATCATAAAACTATATTCAGCTCTATAATCTTCTCTATTTTTTTAGGTCCAGTATTTCTTCATTTGAAAAACTCTCCAGTACAGATATGAAGTGTTACTGGAACAATAAGAAAAGAGTAGTCGAAGAAGATTATGAGGCTAAACCAATCCTAGAAACTGCTTGCTTTGAGTCCAAAGTCAAGAGGAAACCTCCATTAACTCCAGAACAAGAATTGGAATGTTTTACTGTTTTGACCTCAACTTGTCTAGGATCAAGTTTGTCTCTTCATTTGTAAGTACTTATGAGACTGTGACATTCTATTTTCAATAATTATTTTTGAAAATATAAGATGAATACATAATACATCATGCATTTTACTTTTTAGAAAGGGTCGTGTTCCAAGTACCAAATCAAGGGAAGAAATCAAAGAAATTTCCTCATCTTTTGAAAGCATTTTAGCAAATGCTTCAAACAATGAGTTTCTGGCCAGCATCAATATCGATCTAACATCCTACCAGCTAAAACCATGTTGTGAAGGTGTATTGAAGAATGTTTCAAATATCGAAAGTTTAAAGAATGCTTTAACATGTGATCAAAAGTCAGAAATTTGGAATCAAGAAAGAATGTTCCGCATTACAGGTAAGATTGATATTGGAAATCGATTAGTTTGTAATTTAATTCCCCTGAATATGAACAAATATCCCAAAGGGACAAAAAGTGACATTTCATAAGAGAGTGAAATTGTCACTTTAGTCCCGGAAGTACGAAAACTATATTTTTTTGAGATGCTGTGTAAATTGGAAAATTTTCTCTTAGGTTCTAGATGTTATTCTCTTTATACATTTTCAAAAGAAAATTGGGACACCAAAGCGAATAATTACTTTTGGCCAAAAAAGTTTACAAATAAGTACATAGAACATGGCGTAAAATATGAAAAGGAGGCTTTGGATATGTACAGGAAAAATACTGGCTATGATGTTGCTGAGATGGGCCTTCTAATTTGTGAACAATATCCATGGTTGGCTTATTCGCCAGATGGTGTTGTGATGACTGATGGATTACCTACAAAATTAGTAGAGATCAAATGCCCTTATGATGGTAAGAGCTTTTTTTAAACAATAAGTATTTGTAGTACCTAGGTATTTATGTCACTGATCAATTTAAAAATGATTTTTATTTTTAGGTTTGGAAAATGATGCCATAAATTTCGCACATTCTTGTTCCTATTTGGCAATTAGCGAAGAAGAAGGCATAAAATTGAAAAAGAAACATGCCTATTATGGCCAAGTTCAGTTAGGTATGGCAATACTGAACCTGACTACCTGTGATTTGATCCTTTACTCCACCAAATCAAAAACATATTTAAATATATCTGTACCCTTCGATGAAGATTTCACTAAAAATATGATCTGCAATGTGACTGACAAATATTTTAGGTTTATGTTACATTTTATTTGTAAAAAGCGTGGAACTGAAAGTTCTTAATTTTTTTTTGTAAATAAATTTGTTTGCCGTTCATTATATTATAAGTTCCAAATATCAGTTGTTGCTTTCTTTCAATAGTAAAATAACGAATGCAATGGAAATTATCGCTAGTTTTTTGGGAAATTTGCCCGAATGCATTTTTAGTTGAAAAAGAGCACGAATACAGGTTAAAAACGCATGAGTACAAATTTGTCAAAAAATTATGGATATATTTCCATTGCACAAGTTGTATTTTATGGAGAATTTCATGATTGAATAATAAAATGATAATTTTATTTTGGAACATCCGTTAGCATGCAATTATCGGGACCAAAAACTTAAAACATGTCAATTCATTGTATATTATCTCTGATTGTAAATGAAATTCTCTATAAAATAGGACAGGAACTTTAGCCTCCATATCTACAGCATTTTTAAAAAATAAATAATTAATGGCCATTTCCACAAAGTATTTTAGGGAAGCCATAACAATAGGTATGCCTTAAACTGACATTTCTCCATGTAAAAATGTCATTTTAGGGAATACTTATCGTTAGGGCTCCCCTGGAATGGTTGGTGGAAACGGCCATAAGTCCTGGAAAAGATAAAAACTGGGTCTTTGAATAAAACAAAAAAATTATCAAGAAATTAATTATTCAGGAAAATCCAATTGAAGTTCTCTTCTGTTTATGTAGTGATAGCTAGAAGTAGACAATGAATGTTTCCTAAAATTTATTATCAGCAAGCAAAGGATTTTGCAAATTAACCATTCCACAAATAATTATAATAATATCATCCACCAAAGGTATTAAACTATTCGCCAATGGCACATTGAGTATATTATATATCCTCATCCTCTGATTTACACGTTCAATATGTACTCTGGCTTTAGAAATTAAAACATTATCTTTCGATTCTTTCTCAGAAAACTGTGATTTTTTTCTTAAAAAATGAGGTCTTATCAGTTTAATGAAATATTCTTGGCAGATATTTTCAATAAGAAAACCTTTATCAACCATTACACTATCATGTCTAGGCTCCAATTTATTGATTAAGTTGCTTTGAACAAAAATGGCCTTATCAGAAGTCCTGCCTCCATAGCTTTTTGAAGCAAATGTTATTAGTCCTGCTGGACTTACACCAGTCATTATTTTCAAAGTCTGCCTACCCTTGTAATGTGAATATGTCCTAACTCTACAGCACAAACATTTGGGTTTTTCTATGGGAATCTCTAAACAGTCCAAAACTATTCTTACTGTTTTGAAATTTTGAAAACAACTGGGCATATTTTGGCTACACTCTTCTAAAGATGGCCAATGAATTAAACGTTTTAAAATGTTAGACAAATTTGAAATATAGTCAACAAATATTAACTTGCATAATGAAGGCGATACTTTAAATAGAAATGATAAAACATTTAATTTGAGAGCCATTTTGAGCTTCATAAAAACTAAAATAATTCTGTCTGTGGTTGATAATTTATGTGTCTTTTTATCAGGGTAGAATTTCTGCACAAGTGAGGACATTGAGTTTAAAACACTAAATGAATTTATTCCAGTTAAAGAATTTAGGTGTTTGTCTTCTTTAATTGTTGAACTAAATGATATCATAATATCCCCACTCGACACCTGCACTTGTTTATCAACATATTCACGTCCTGCTTGATTGTTTAAAACTAGCAAATTTTGTACCACAACTTTTTCTTCTTCTGATAAGTCTTGATAGGACCTTGGTGTAATTTCTTGGGCAATTGAAGTGTCTTCCACAGTTTCACACACCGGGGCTTCACTAATGGATGCATTTTCTGCATTTTGAACTTTCCGTCTCTTTGACAAACGGTCTTCACGAGAACTAACTGTTGCCTTGGCTGTTTCCTTGCGGTCATCTGAATTAAAATATGGTCTCTTCTTCGGTAAGTTTAAGGAGGGCACAGCAAATCTCATTAATTTTGGTTGCTTCAAGTGTTTTATTGCTGGTCCTGAAACAATATTTAAAAAAAAAACTTAGTAATAATCAAAACAATTCACCTAATAAACGAAATTTTCTTTTTGTTAATCTTTCTATTAATTAAGATTTTAAACACTGTTGATTATTGTTTTGTTTTATACTTGGTTTTATATCCTTGGTAACAATGCTGATGGATTTGGTTAAGGGTCGCATGTATAGGTTCAGTTTAAGCTTTAAGCTGTGGTTAAAGATAGGCGCAACCCATGTTCAATCCTAAGTCTAACGTTTAACCATAGCTTGAAGCATAAACTGAACCTATAAAATTGACCTTTAATTATTTTGTTGTTTGCATCTCGAAGGGTAAATTACTCCCAGTACCTGAGACCCTGAATATTTTACACCCTGAAAATCAATAATAGCAAGGATTTACAAAAACAAGCAATGTGAAGGGTCAACCATTGCAAGTACCTGGAGTGTCTTTTATCTTGAAATAATGATCAAATAATTTATAGAAAATATTGCAACTCTTTCTACACCAAATTAAGGATGTCAAATTTATTTACCTTTTGTACAATAATCCTCGTTTCGGAAATGCTTTGAACACACACGCATATGTTTTGTAACGGGCTTCCCCACAATATTGCGTTTGCCCAAGCCTTTCTTTTATCTATAAGCTCTTCCTGTCCTAGAGCATTAACAATTTTGACACGAATGCCACTATTTTTCTCAGGAAAATAGTGGAAATGAATTTCTGGTTCCCTGCCTTTTTTTGAGTGGCAATCATAAACACAACAATTTGTGTTGTTATACCTAACGGCTCCAGACGACCCAGACGTTGATGGCATAGAACTCATATCACTAATTTTTAACTAAAATAGTCCTTAAAGAAGATAAATTCACAATATAATCACAATAATAACACAGCACAATCTCAAAAACGGCACGAATTCAACAGAATACCGGCATCGCATAACGTAAACAAACGGGCCATCGATATTGCTATACGCGTTTTCTTAGTTCAAATTTTTTCCGCCCAAAGGGCGTCTAGATTTTTGGAATCGCCTGAATACCACACCTACTAATATGCGTCTTTATACATATAAAACGGTCTGTTATCAATTTGGCGACATTCCCAATTACGTTTTTTGATGTATTACCTTGACTAGCTTGATTAGTTATGCTCCCTATAGTATTTATATTTCTATTCAGGCTTCTTTTGTTGCTGCCATCAGTTATTGCTGGTTTATAAGCAATTTCATATTCTGCGGCTGAAAAATGTAATTTTTGATATGTTAAAAGATCTTATAGAGAAAAGCTTTACCTTTCGTTGTCATTCTCTGCCTTATCTTCTTGCACCTCTTCCTATAAGATTTGCCTCTTTCTTTGGCAGCCAAAACTTTAGGATCTTCCTTGCCGTCAGGCGCGTCCACTATTTGTTTTAAATTGTACTGTTCTAATTCGTTTGACGATAAACCTATAAAACAGAATTTTTATTTCATTGAATTGAAATCTTGTTGTAGCCATCCTGACCTGGATTAGCTTGTTTGACTGCTTCCTGATGCAGACGACCTCTTAAATGACTCATTAAATAGACTTCGGATTTTATCTGCAAAAATACAAAAAAAATCATAATTTGATGATACTTAAAATGATGTTTTCATTAGTTGAATATTATTGATGATAAGCTCAAAAACAGAAATTAGTTTCATGGTAAAATGTTAACCAGTATGATGTGAGAATGATTTGACAACAAAAAAACACAGAAAAAAACGTTGTTCACTCACTTATCTTTATTTAGCAATTAAAAATGTCCTACTTCCTTATGTAAAGGAGATATTGAAAGAGAAACTGGTTCTTCTGATTTGTTGTGGCATTCTTACCCCTAAATGTCATACCCACTAGGTTCAAAAAACCTATTTTCATTAAATCAATAGAAAAACAGTACATAAATAATAACCTCACTCCTCGCACATATAGAGGTACTCTGGTCCACCTAGGTTCAACCAAAACTCACTCAGTTTGTTTCGATATTTTTAAAATCAGGGAATAATTCAACTGATTCTTAAAATTTCAGAATAGAATTGATTATTATTAGTATTATTATTATTATTATTCTATCCATAAATAAATGTATTTCCCGAAATAGTGCAAATTAATATGGTATGCTATTTTCAGTTAGAAGTAAGGACCTTATAAGCATGTGCATTCGTCATCGTATCAATATCAATAGTCCCTGAAAAAAAAACAGAAACACACTTCACCCAGAAAAATTCAATATCAATTATACGAAATTTTAAAACATAGATCAGTTTCAAGAGAACCTCTGAAGGTCAAAAAAACATTCAACTGGAAACGAAAAATAGAATTTAATTTGAAAAAAGTCATTGAGGAGTAGAGAGCAGTTTTTCCAAACCAAGTTTATTTCAAATATAAATAAAAAATGTTACAATTTTCTTAATAATAGAACAAATAACAAAAATTGTAGATTTCTATAAAAATATTTTTTTCTGAAAATAACAATTTAACAAGAAATAATGCTATTTAAATAATGTTGATAATCAGTATCGCCACCTCTAGCATCGATGCAAGCACGAATTCGACGAGACATATCTATCAAGTTGTCAATTTCTTCTTGGGGAACATTTGCCCATTCCTCTGAAGCCGCTTGTATAAGTTGCTCTGTGTTACCAGGGTTATTGTAACGAGCTCTAATCTTTCTTTTGATCCCATAAGTGCTCTATAAGATTAAGATCCGGTGAGCAAGAAAGCCACTCTAAAACTTCAACACCTTCCGTTTCGAAGAAAGGTTTTACAACTCTGCTGGTATGTGGAGGTGCATTATCTTGCATGAATAAAAAAAAATCGCCTAAACCACCTCGCCAGAGCCTGAATACAGGTTGTAAAACTGATTCAACATACCTTTAACCTGTTAGGGTTTGTCGGATGGTTAAAGGAGTTCTTTCACCAATCATAATTCTACCCCAGAACATAGTAGTACCTCCTTCGTATTTCGGGATAGGTTTGGCAGCACGGAGTCTAGCTTGTCTCCCACTATCTCTTGAAAAGCGAATTCGCCGGTCATCGGATCAGAGATCGATTCTGGTTTCATCCGAAAATAAGATATTTTTCCAACGTCATTACTGCAATTTTCATGCTCCAATTTAAACGGTAAGCTTTATTTTGCCTTGAAAGTTCTGGAACCCTTAACTGTCTCCTGCTAAATAATTCCCGAGCGCGAATTCTTCTTCTGATAGTTTCGACAGAAAAACTCATACCTGTAGCTTGCAAAAGTTTCCTCTGAAGCTCTGAATGAGATGTTGTGGGATTTCTTCGTGCTATTTTAGCTACAACGCGATCCTACCCTTCTGTAGGTATTCTTCTACGACTTCTCCCTCGGTTTATTCTTTAGGGTTCCCAATTCTAGAAACCTTGAATAGGTTTACGAAATAACCCCTTGTGTAACCCCCTCCGTTCTTGCAATCTGCCTTTGTGACATGCCTTGTTCTACCAGAGCAATAATTCTTCCCCTCTGTCTGGACTTCCGATGACCCACATACGTTTTTTTTTTTTTTTTAAATGTGCGAAAATAAATAAATTCAGACAATGAACTTGCAAGCCGAGCAGAAAAATCTACACGGCCAAGACAAATCTCATCAATTATTTTGTTTATCTACCTGTTCTTGTAAGTAAACACATGTACTTTTTTCATCGGTTGCAGGTGTACTTCAGGGCGTGTTTTAAGCTCATTTTCGGTTATAGTTGCCCTCACAGATGCGTTTAGAACACAAACTAAAATCTGTTTTTTTTTAAAGATAAATCCCCAAGTCAAAAATTTAGTAACTTTGTTGGCAACACAAGCCTTTTCTACATGAAAAATTTGAAAGCATTGACAATTTTACATTGTATTGCCAACCTAATGTCAGTTTGACTTTTATCTTTAAAAAAAACGCACTTTAAAATTCATACTATCAAAATAATCCAATTTTCAACTGAATTATGACCTTTGTAAACAATACAGTTCCTTGTAAAATTATGCAAAATTTATGATTGAACCAAATATACAGGGTGAGTTACTAAGAGCGCGGTGGTCCCACTGATCTGATAAATAAGATGGCGCTGGTTGAATGATCACGCTTCGTGGCAGCAGCAAAAATAAAAGTGTTTTTCCTAGTGAAAATTAAAGTTTTTTTTTCAATGTAGTGATTCCTTTGATGCATCATGCTGTATGCTTAGTGCTCAGAGTGAAAATTTTACTTAAAGTTGCCTATTAACTGTGATTTTTTTGAAAAGTGTCTTGTGCATACTATTTTGAGGTTAGTTATGTCACCTATAATAATACAAGTTCCTTAACAATGGTTCTATCGGAGAATGACCTCGAAAAAATAAAGGCCATCTTTACCGATCGGTTCCTGCAAACAATTGCGGACAAAGTTACCAATATTATGGAAAAACGATACGATGCAAAGCTTAAGGAGCAGGAACAACGAATATCTAAGTTACAAAAAGAAATTCTCGATCTAAAAAATCTTAAAGGCGAAATGCAGATGACTCTTGATAGCCATGAACAGGCCTCTAGAAATCTGAATGTCAGAGTTTTCGGAGTACCCGTCAATCAAAACGAGGATTTGCGCTCGAGAATGCAAGATATATTCAAACAAATAAAGGTAGAAATCAATGATATACATCATCAGCATGTCATAGAGTTGCCTCCAGAAATCAATCCAATAAACCTCCGGCAGTACTAGTGCGATTCTCGCGCGATGTAGATCGAAGCCTGGTATTGAAAAATCGAAAAAATTTGCGTACTACAGAAATTCAGGTGAAAGAGGACCTAACCAAGAATCGTTTAGCCTTGTTATCGGCCGCGGTGGAGAAATTTAGTAGTAAAAGTGCGTGGTGCCTAAATGGCATAATCTATGTTAAAGTGGGTGATGTTGTCCATCGAGTTGAGCGAACAGAGGATTTACTGGGTTTGAGGAACAACTGAGTGTGTAAGCTTTGTAAATATAAACTACCTATGGGAATATTTGTATTATTTGCAGTTTCTTTTTTTTTTTGGACACTGTTGTAGGTATTGGATAGCAGAATTTCTAGTTTCCTTGTTTATTTTATTTGGGAAAAGAAATAATTATTATCGTTTTTGTTTTCAATTTAACCTATAATTTGCTTCTTAGTAACTATATAGATTAGCCTACTGTTAATCTATTTATAATACGGGTATGTACTTTGTTTACGTTCGGATTCTTGGAAGAGATTTGTTTTTTTTTATATATATATATATTTTATTTTGATATGTCATCAACATATTGACCTGGTTTCTGATTTTCTAATTTGTTGATTTTTATCTCTCAGTACTCGGTGAAGGGAATTATTTTTCATATTTTTTTTAGAATATTTGATTTTTTTTTTCTTTTATTTTCACTTTTTTCAACTTTGAAAATTAAAATTGATCGCTGCGGCTGCGTCTCCAGTGATTGCTACTCTTTTTGTACTGTGTTTACAATTTTACTTTATATCCTTTTCCTTGTATTTCCTTTTTTTATTCCCTTTTTTTTTCTCTTCTCTAATTACTTAACCTTTTCCTTATAGTTATGCTGTGTTGTGCCCATTCAAATGTCAGGTCGCTTATGAATAACTTTGATCTATTTAAAGACCATATTACCTGCAATAAATATGGTATAATGGGTATATCAGAAACTTGGCTGTCTCCGAATGTCGGTAACGAAACTGTTGGTGTAAATAACTATAACTTTGTTAGAAGTGATCGATTGGGGCGCGGTGGGGGCGTGGGAGTTTATATTAGATCAGATATTAATTTCACGGTTATGCTGAGTGAATGCAGAGACATCGTAGAGCATATTTGGATAAAACTTACTATTCAAAAGGAAACTATTATCATTGGTAATCTTTATAGGCCGCCTGGTTCAAATATAACTGAATTTCTTTTTTACTTTGAGGATATTTCAATCGAATTTTTTTCTCAGTGCGACAGACTTATGTGTTTGGGTGACTTTAACATTGACATGCTTGATCCTACTAGTTCACAGGCAATACAACTTAACAATGTTCTATCGACTTTTAATCTTGAACAAGTAATTTCGGTGCCTACTAGGGTCTCCAACATTAGCTCAACACTTATTGACCTTGCTTGCTGTCACCCTGAGAATATGCAGGACTCTGGTGTAAAAAATATCAATATTTCCGATCATTTTCTTATTTACGTCTCCCTAAATTTTAAGATGTTTGAGCCAAATGAATACCAGTTTATTTTCAGATCACTCAGACGTATTAACCTTGTTGATTTTCAATCAGACTTAGAAAGTGCCCCTTGGAATTACATTTTTACCTTGGAGAACATAGATGAGAAGGTGGCGCTTCTAACAAACATGATTTCAACAATTTTTGATATACATGCTCCAGTTCAAGTAAAAAAAGGCGTTAAAAAGCCCTATACACCTTGGATGACAGACAATATTAAATTCATGAAAAGACTAAAAAATCAAGCTTTAAATAAATTTCGCCGCACTAGAGTTGGCTAATGGATGCTCATTCGGTTTTAAATTTTGTCGACCAGTCGACGCTGGTAACTAAAATACCCCGTAAAATACAATAATACATAAACATTTGGATTTTTTCTCCCGAGAATTGAAACGTATTAAACATTTCCTCATTTATGCGTAAGAAGCGTAAAAAACTTCTTGGGTCTTCTACAGCAATAATTCATTCAGAAGTTTTTTAGGAGCACCAAGTGTACTCCTTCTAGCTATCCATTTTCTCACCCATATCTTCTTGGTTTTTTTTTTACGTTTAATTTTAATTATTTCACCAATCACAGCAGCTACCGCGGCAGTTTACTGTGTATCGGCCATTTGGCTATTGATAAATGTCACGATATTTTTTAGTACGTGTAGACACCTCACTTTCATGATAGGACTATCGAGGCAACTATCATGAGAGCGCTTTCATGAGAGTACTTTCACCGTGAAAACGAGCCTTTAGAAATATTTTAATGACAAGTATCGAATCTTTGTCAATAGAAAATGACTTACATGTAAAGGACTTGAAAAAAGCAAGTTTGGACCTATTCGCTCTGAAAGAAAAGCAAAAAATTGACAAAAAGAGCATACAGGTGTATACGGATGACCCACTAAATTTAATCTGTGGGTCAGCACCAGCAGTCACTCAAAAGCTTTTGCAAAAGAACATTCAGGACAGCAATTCTGCTAAAGAATTTACTAGCCATCACTCCATGGTAACTGATCGTAAATTGCTCATACTAGGTGATGATGTTGTTCAAAATTTGAATACAGTGCTTAAAGGATATTTAGCTTCACAAAATTTAGACTTTCGAGTGCAAACTGTCTTAAAAACGGGACCATGGTTGACAATATTGCTAAAGACCAGCTAAAGACAGTCTTTCACTTGGATACTTTGAAGGAACCTATGTGTTGGGATTGTTGAGAATTGGGATTGGGAATGACACATAACTAGCGGGGAATCCCATAGACAACAGTCAAAAAGTCGCGTGAGAAAAAAAAGTATCCAGAGAATCGAAGCATTTGAAAAAAAAATTTTGGGGTGGACCACCCTTATTACTTAGGGATATAAAAAACAGATTACAACCGATTCTCAGACCTACCGAATATACATATAAATATTTCATAAAAATCGGTCAAGCCATTTCAGAGGAGTATTGTTACAAATACTGTGACACCAGAACTATACATTATGTTAGATAGTAGATCAATGGAGTTGTGTTTTAGAATAAATAATGAATGAGAGGTGTGAGGGACTGGTTTGCTTTGTAGACTTAAATTCTAATATAGGGGCTAGATTAAGAAATATCAGGTTAGGTAATAACATTTTTAATGTGTAAAATTTCCCATTTCCAGCTAGAAAGAATCTAATATTTATTAAACTAATTGAGCTTGAGCTATCAATCACATCAGCGGAAACTAGTGAAATATAGTCGCCTCAGACTGATTTATTAAATAAGCAATTTTTTTTAGATGTTCTAGCACCCGAGATAATAGGCTCTTGATGTCAGTAATGCTTTTGAATATTCAATCTATTAGATATAAAATTGATGAGCTGTTTCTTTTTTTGGGCAGAGTGGATTATCCCAATGTGTTACTTTTGACTGAGCACTGGCTAAAGGTTGATGAACCCGTATCCTTTTCCAATTATTCTACTTTGTCAGTACATTCAAGATCTTATTTTATTCATGGTGGTACAATGATAATGGTTCGTCATAAGTTTTTGGATGCTTGTATGTTTGCGGACTTCGACCAGTTCAACTGTATGATTGTGGACACGGAATTTGAATTTTCAGTGGGTTATGCTCCTAGATTAAATGTTTTTGTGATATATTTATAAAGACCGCCAAACACTGATGTTTCCGTGTTTGCATTCAGGTTAGAGTTACTTCTCTCGGGGTTTCCTTTGCACTCATGGATTATTCTGACCGGTGACTTAAAGCTGAATTTCGCAGATAGTTCGCACCACAATATTCAGTTGCTTTCTAATGTATTAGAATCTTCCGATTTAACAATGCATATGCAGAATCTCGAGTTACAAAGACCTCGTCATCTATGATTGACTATGTCTGTTCTAATAAGGCTAGTAATTTTGTAGAGGCTGTTATCTGTAATTTCAATATTTCTTGTAAAAAAAATCAAAAAGAAGGAGGCACGATTTACATTGAAAATAGGCCCCCGTAAATTTTAACCAAATTTCAATATTTTGAAGGTATCATCATTGCAAAAGAAAATTTGAAATGTAAAGAGGATCGTATGTCTGCGATAGCAGATATAGCTTGTCAAAGTACGTAGGTCCTGCTATGCTATGCATAGGAAATATCCGAGGAAATATCCCTACATAGATTTTCTTGAATATTTCGAAAAATACTAATCCAATTTTGACGGTTATGGGGTCCTTTTGTAGGTATCAAACCCCAAAAATATCAAAATCGGATTAGTATTTTTCGAGATATTCAAGAAAATCTACGTAGGGATATTTCCTCGGATATTTTCTATGCATACCATAGCAGGACCTACGTACTTTGACAAGCTATATCTGCTATCACAGACATACGATCCTCATTACATTTCAAATTTTTTTTTGCAATGATGATACCTTTAAAATATTGAAATTTGGTTGAATTTTACAGGGGCCTATTTTCAATGTAAATCGTGTCTCCTTCTTTGTATGCAAGGGGTAGGATTTACTCAAAGAATAATTACAGTAGGTTTTCGCAATTATATGCCGAGAATGACTGGACACCTATACTGCACTCATCTAACCCCCTTGATCAGTTTCATAGTGTATTATCTCAAAGTTTTAATACCGCATTTCCACTTAAAACTTTAAAGAAAAAGGACACAAAACCCTGGTTTACTAAGGGCCTAAAGATATCGGCGCGAAACATGCGTTTTTTAAACACGCTTCGTGAAAATTTTCTGGATAGTAAATTCTTCATGGCATACTTTAGTAAATATCGTGGAATTTATAGAAAATTGAAACAATCTGCTAAACAAAGATAATATAATCATATTCATGAATCAAACAATGAACAGAGGGAGAGATGGAATAAATACCACTTAGAAGCTTACTTGTTATCAATTTAACTCTTTTTATTGTAATGTAGCAACGAACTTATCTGCAAATATAAGTCCCGACAAGAACGCCTTAGTTTATTTAAGGAAGTCGCGGTCAGAGACACTTTTTATTTTCATCCGACGGATATATTAGCTCATTGTCTTAAACTTCAACTTAATTTATTATTAAATACCTGTTTTAAGCGTTTTATATTTCTTTCAACTAGTGTGTTTAGTATCATACCATCTTTGTTTTATATTTATTTATATAGTAATGAGAATTTATATTGGATTAGTGTGCTTTGATAATAAGATTGTATTGGTCTTTATTCGATAAAGCTGTTGTTGATTTGATTTGATTAATGCAAAGCCTATCATTTCCTAAGTAAAATTACCCACAACCGCTATAACATCATAACCATAGACATCAAACAAGCTGAAATACAAATAAAAACAAATGCTGTTTTCCGATCTACACATCATCTTAACCAAAAATGTAATTATCTCTTACTTAAAAAATGTGGGAAGAATACATAAATGAATTTGAGAAATATATTATTAATAGCTAAGAAATCGTGCAAATCGTAATCAGCTACAATAACCAGTTAGTACAGACAAAAAATGGCGAATATTACTTACAAGCACATTGCACACAGTACACAACTTGGGCTGCGGATACGGTACCATATTAGGAGCCTGATTATCGTCCTGATGGCAACGTAAAATTGACAACTCCAGTGCCTTCTGACGAATCTGTTCCATGTTCTCTTCGTGACGACGTTTCGAGTCTTCTTGTTTTTGCTCGATACGTTTTTGAAGTTCTTGGGTCGAGGCAAGCTGTTTTTCGTGCAAGGCTGACAAACGTTCCTTAAAGAAGATTCCAAAAAATAATACTAATAGTTGGTAACATCAAAGAATATTATAGTTAACACTTATAGAAAACCTATTCCATGTATATTTTTTGACCCCCAAATGGAGCCAGACTTTTCGAGCCGGGCTCCATCGGAGTGGTAGGCTCGCCGTAATCAACGTGGTTCCAGTTGATGGCTACTCGGCGTTGCCATATGTCCATATAAATATGTATAATAATAACTTTAAAACGGTGACCGCGCTGATATGAAAAAACACGATATGCGGGAAAAAAATGGAAGGTTTTGTCTTGAAAATATCGCTGAAAAATTGCTAGACGATAATAGCAGTTCGAACTCGAGTTTCTCACAGAAATATCAAAGTTTTTCAATTTTTTTCTGGAAAACTGACTAAGTAAAAATTGTGCAATTTTTTCAGGTGAAAGACGAAAGTGAGGAGCTTATTATAGGAAAATTTCAAATTTTTCCAATGGAAAATCATCCCAGGAAAAATTCTGGAAAATTGACTTTTTTAAGCAGAATTCATTTTCTTAAATTACATTTATTTCCTAGAAAACTGGCAAAAGGAAAATTGTGAATTTTTTTCAGAAAAAAGAGGAAAGTGAGGATCTTATTATAGCAAAATTTCAAAATTTTCCTGTGAAAAAACACTCCAGGACAAATTTAGGAAAACTGACTTTTTTAAGCGAAATTCATTCTTTTATATTACAATTATTTTCTGGAAAATTGGCAGAGTGGAAATTGTGATATTTTTGCAGGAGAAAGACGAAAATGAGGAGCTTATTATAGGAAAATTTCAAAATTTTCCAGTGGAAAATCATTTCAGGAAAAATACTGGAAAATTGACTTTTTTAAGTAAAATTCATTTTCTTTCTTTTTAGTTTTTTTCGAGAAAACTGGCAAAAGGAAAATTGTGAAAATTTTCCAGAAAAAAGAGGAAAGCGAGTTCATTAAAGTAAATTTTTAAAATTTTCTAATGAAAAGTCACTCAAGGAAAAATTCTGGAAAATTGACTTATTTAAGCAAAGTTAAGGAAAATTTACCCTCTTACATTTTAATTTTTTTCTTGAAAACTGGCAAAGGGAAAATTTTGAAAATTTTCCAGGAAAAAGAGAAAAGTGAGGAGCTTATTACAGGGAAATTTCGAAATTTTCCAGTAAAAAATCATTCCAGGAAAAACTCAAAGAAAATTGACTTATTAAGGCAAAATTGAAGAAAATTCACCCTCTTACATTTTAGTTTTTTTCTGGAAAACTGGCAACGGGAAAATTTTGAAATTTTTACAGGAGAAAGAGGAAAGTGAGGAGCTCATTAGAAGAAAATTTCAAAATTTTCCAGTGAAAAATCACTCCAGGAGAAATGTATTTATACATGTATATTTTCGGATAACTGAATAAACTCTATTCTAAGTTAAAATAGTATATTTCCTAACTAGTGCGGAAAGTACCACTTTTCCGCACGCGATTGCAGTTTATCGACCGACGCGCAGCGAAATTCGGCAAGCAATCAAGTGCGGAAAAGATACTTTCCGCACGAGTTAGGAACACTATTTTTTCTACGAGATGAAAGGTAATATTTTCATCTACATATTTATCAATTTAAGATATTTTTTTTCACTTTTTTGTACCTGTACCTGGTAGTATATCCTGTTAATCTGTAAGTACAGGGTGACCCAAATTCGAGCCTCATCATTGGGATTTTGGAAACCGTAAGAGATACAGGGTCGGTTAAATTATGGCAAAGTTGCGCATTTTGATGCTCAACAAAATGCCGCTTTGATATTCAGGATATTCCGAATACTTCCGGAGATATCCAGAAAAATTTCGAAATTTTGCAAAATTGTTTTTATTTTTTACTGACTTTATTTGAAGTGATATTTCGAAAAAAATATCACTTCATCATAGCCACTTTTTCTCCCCTACAAGATGCTACAATCAAATTTAAAATCTGACATTTCGTCTTTTGGCCACCATCATCAACTTATTTTTTTTAAATACAACCCTGGATTTTTTATTTCTGATTTTGAGAGCTTCTGATGTTCCAAAACCTATGACGTATCGCATTTATCCGAAAATAGTTATTTATGCAACAAGTGTGTAAAGTGAACCTTTTTTCACGAATGTGAATTTTGACGCACGAGCCGAAGGCGAGTGCGACAATCACATGAGTGAAAAAAGGTGCTTTACGCAAGTATTGCATACAAAATTTTTTCTACTACCAATCAAATATGTGTACGAAAATAAATTTAGTCAAATACTTCACGCGCTAGTGCGTAAAGAATTTTCATTTTACGAACTAGTGCGTGAAGTGATTTACCAGAAAAATGCCAAATTGACAGTGTCGACATCTGTCATTGACATTACTTTACGCACTAGTGCGTGAAGTGAAATTTTACGTCTTCTGAATAGCGCGTAAAGTGAGTACTTTACGCACGGTAGTAGAAAAAAATATTTTTTTTTTACTTCTTAGTAATTTCCTACCAAAATCTTTTCTCTGTCTCTCTCTAACACATTTAGTTTTTATGGAAAGTGCCAATAATATAAATTTTTCGAATAAATGCGATTCGTCATAGGTTTTGGGATATCAGAAGCTCTTGAAATCTGAAATAAAAAACGAGGGTCCGTATTTAGAAAAGTAAAGTTGATGATGGTGGTCCAAAGACGAAACATCATATTTATTAAATTTGATGATAGCATCTTGTAGGGGAGAAAAAGTGGCTAAGATGAAGTAATATTTTTTTTGAAGTATCACTTCAAATAAAGTCAGGAAAAAATAAACATTTTGCAAAATTCCGGTTTTTTCTGGATATCTCCGGAAGTATTCGAAATATCCTAAATATCAAAGCGGCATTTTGTTGAGCATCAAAATGCGCAACTTTGCCATAACTTAACCGACCCTGTATCTCTCACGGTTTCCGAGATCCCAATGATGAGGCTCGAATTTGGGCCACCCTGTACCTGTATACCTAAAAATTTCAGGTATTCTACATGTGATGATCATTTTTCCGCACTCAGTGCGGAAAAAAACGGAAAAGCACTAGGCGGAAAAGTGATACTTAAATGACCTAAAATGCGTGCGGAAAAGTACACTTTTCCGCACGCTCGTAGAAAAAAATTATTACAAAACAATAACTCCGAAGGTGCTCTTTGAAATAATCTATGACTTAATCTTTTCTTTAAATTGTTATGACGTCATCGATGACGTAAGTAAAAACCCTCGTGTCGTGCAACGAACTATACATATCGGGTCTTCAAAAAAAAACCAATCAAAGATTGCTTTGGTTACGAAAACGTACGCATTATTGTTTGTATATTGGTCGGGATTTTTGACATGACATTTTGACATTAAATTTCATTGACTGACATTGTCAAAATTAAAGAAAAATATTGCTAAGACGTACGTTTAAAAAACCATAGCAATCTTTGATTGGCTTTTTTTTTGAAGACCCGATATGTTTGGTTGAAATTTCAGACATTTAAAAAGCTATTTTTCAAAAAGGCAAATGACGTAAGTACAAAACCTTCGTAAAACTAATTTTTTTTTACGCGTCTCATTTCGTCAGCACCCCTTGTATTTGGAGTTAGTTGCGCTAATGCACATCCTGAAAATGCCAGACAAAAAAAAAATCCTGTGCAATTCACACCCGGTAGAAGTGAAACCTTCATCGAACTGCATGCATTAAGCCTCATTTACACGGTGCAAGTAGCTTGAGCAAGTACTAACGCCAGTAACTAAAATTTAGTAACTTGAATCGTGTAGACACCTTAATTTAGTACTTGAGCAAGTAAACTCTTTAGTCAAGTAATTAGTCAAGTGAATAGAAGCTGGTTCTATTTACTTGAGCAAGTGGCTTCCCCCTCTCGTTTATTTTACTGACTTTAGCGGGCTGGACGTGTGTAGACAGGATTTGTATTTAGTGATTAGTGAAGTACATTAGTGGGGTTTGAATTTGAATATTTTGAGTATTGTGTTGCACCTTGCACCTATTAGTTGCCTTTGCAATGTCGTCTGTAACTGCTTCCTGTTGCCAGATATGATAGTGTAATTTCCAATGTAATTTTTACTGGAATAGCAGGTCTCATTACAGTATCTTGTGTGCTAATCATGGGTTTTATTTCGAAAAGTTAACTTATTGAATTGTTCTTTTGTCATCCGCATACAATTTCGATATTCTTTTGGATCTTCCTTAGCCAGTTCAACCAATAATGTGGAAGATGCACCATGTGTTTCTCTACGAGATATCCATGGTCGAACCCAACAACGTTTTCCATTTTCAATTTCTTTCAATAAAATGTGTGATAATTCTCCATAAACACTCAAAATGCATTTTTAAATTTCTTTTCGAACAACTGTACTTGCTGCCATTTCACCTCAATTTGCACTAATCACTAAATTCGACTTAAAATCAGTAAAATGCATGTAAACACCCACTTGCACGAAAACAAAGATAATTTAGTTACTGGCGTTAGTACTTGCTCAAGCTACTTGCACCGTGTAAATGAGGCTTTACACACATACTAACATAGACAGTGGCGTCCCCCCCTCCAAAAGACTTGAGAAAGAACGCAAATAAATATAGTTTAAAAAAACTAAAATACACGCTGGGGTGTTTGGTTCCACATTTCTCATACATTGAGCACCCCACGCTTTTTTGACAATAATTTTAATATTTTTTGTTCATTAATATTTTCTGTTTATATTAAAAATTATTTTTCACTTTTTAGTTCGATGTATCAAAAGCGTGTTAGCCCCAGATATTTCCAGACTTTTCCAGACATTATTCAGACTTATTCAGGGCTTTCCAGAGATTTCCAGATTTCATCCAGATTTATCCAGACTTGTACAGACTGATCCGGATTCTGGAAAATGATTCCCAGGTCTTTTGGTACCTTTTTCAGAATTTTTCCGACCCTTCCAAGAAATTTCCAGGCATTTTCCAGACGTTTCCAGAGATTTCCAGGCATTATCCAGACTTATCCAGAGCTTTCCAGAGTTTTCTAGACTTCATCCCGATAAATCCAGACTTGTTCAGACTGATCCGGATTCTGGAAAATGATCCCCAGGTCTTTTGAGACCTTTTTCAGATTTTTTCCAACCCTTTCCAGAAATTTCCAAGTCTGGAACGTTTCCAGACTTTTCCAGACAATATCCAGACTTATCCAGAGTTTTACAGAGTTTTCCAGACATCATCCAGATTAATCCAGACTTGTTCAGACTGATCCGGATTCTGGAAAATGATCCCCAGGTTTTTTGGGACCTTTTTCAGAATTTTTCCAACCCTTTCCAGAAATTTCCAAGTCTTTTCCAGACGTTTCCAGACTTTTCCAGACTTATCCAGAGTTTTACAGACTTTATCAAGATTTATCCAGACCTTATCCAGACTTGTACAGACTGATCGGGATTCTGGAAAATGATCCACAGGTCTTTTGGGACCTTTGGCAGAATTTTTCCGACCCTTTCCAGATATTTCCAGGCTCTTTCCAGAGGTTTCCAGAGTTTTCCAGAATTTATCCAGATTAATCCAGACTTTTTCCAGACTTGTTCAGACTGATCCGGATTCTGGAAAATGATCCCCAGGTCTTTTGGAACCTTTTTCAGATTTTTTCCAACCCTTTCCAAAAATTTCCAAGTCTTTTCCAGACGTTTCCAGAAATTTCCAGACTTTTCCAGACAATAACCAGACTTATCCAGAGTTTTCCAGAGTTTTACAGACTTTATCCAGATTTATCCAGACCCTATCCAGACTTGTACAGACTGATCCGAATTCTGGAAAATGATCTCCAGGTCTTTTGGGACCTTTGGCAGAATTTTTCCGACCCTTTCCAGAAATTTCCAGGCTCTTTCCAGACGTTTCCAGAGATTTCCAGACTTTTCCAGACTTCATCCAGATTTATCCAGACTTGTTCCAGCTCACTTGTTCCAGGTTCCTGTTGTGTGTTGTGTGTTTGTATTAATATAAGCGTGTTAAAAAAGTGTTGCTTTTTCGTTTAGTTTCATCGGGTCGCTTTTTCGTTTCATCGAGTCTCAAATCACTCCCAACGGTTCTAAAGAAGTTTCCACTTCAAAAATGACTCCACTCAACATTCCCTATCTCACGCAGAGCATAATTTTGTTTTAGTTTATATATTTTCTATTTATACAGCAAATTAGACGTAGCAACTAGGTATCATCTAATATGTCGATGTAAAAAATTCTAAAACCGCCGCGGCAGTTAGTCTATCATCTTACAAGGTAAAATCACAAAAAATATATTAAATGCCCGAGAGAATCGCGCAACGCTGTTAAAATTTGTTTGCCGAAAAGCTAGCGCGAATATAATTTATTTCAATTTATAACACCGGAGCAGCGCCTCTAGCGGTCTGCCGTCGCCCATAAGCGTAGGTTTTCTATAGTTAACTATAATATTCTTTGGTAACATTCAAATAATTAATAAGTTGAACAAAATGGCTCCGAGTTTGATACAGAAATCTTATATCTATTAATACTGATAAAGTAGGAATACATTATGAGTTCACTAAAACTACTAGGAAGTTATTATTGAATACAATCGGTAGAAATATCAGAATCATTTAGGAAGTTGAATCTCTTGAACTCACTGAGACTATCGAATGCATAAGGATCAAAAGCACAACAGAAGATTTTCGCAGAAATCTACAATTTTTACCTCTCTATCCCTAGCCTTCTCTCTAGCTAATTCCTGCCTTTCTCTCTCCCTTTGCTGCTGCTGTTGGCCTAAAGTAGATAAAAGCCATTATTTTCAAATAACTCAAAATAATTTTACTTACCAATCCTTTCATCCCGCTGCCTCCTTTCGTCCTGCAACCTGTCCAACCTCTCCAATCGTTCCCTTTCCAACGCTTTCCGCCTTTCTTCTACTGCTGCTTCTTTAGCAGCTTTTTCTTCTTGTCTTTTCCGCCGGTCGTCTTGGATGCCTTGGATGCGGCCGCGCTTCTCACGACAGGATTGTAAGAAATCGTGCCTACATAACGCATGTAAAATTTTAATGTTAATTACAGAAAAAAAAATCTTACCGTTTATTTTGTGCTTCTAATTCGTTGATGAACGCAATCTCTTTCAATTTTTCCTCTTCATCATGAGCTTTTCTAATGATACCTCGTAAATGACGTTTACGATTTTGAGCTGCCTTTTGTAATCGAAGTTCCATTCTTAGCCTTTTTTCTTCTATTAGCTGTAATTTAGCAGCTTTCACGTCCTCTACTCTTGCAGATAGAGCTTGCAGTTTATGAGCACGTTCCAATTGCAAATCTTCCCTTCTTTGTTGTGCTTTTTCTTGTTTTGCTTGGTATTTTCTTATGGCTTCAGTGAGACTTATTTTTCGTTGAGGATTTGACAGTTTTTGATGTAACTCCAACGCTCTTCCTGGGTGTCTTGCGTTGATTGCTTCCAAGGCTGCTAGAGTATCTACCCTTTCACTCCAAGACATATCTAGGCATAAAGAAAATAGTTATTTTATATTATTGGGGTATTGAGATAAAAATTACCTGCCAACATAGGTTCATATCTATCTTCCAACGAAATCTGATCACAATCTAACAAGCTAATAGAACAATCATTGTCTTCATGTAATTCATCCCCGTCTGTTTCAGTGCCATCAGTTTCAGTGTCCACTTCAATGTCTAAATACTAAAAAATAAGATTTTAAATAAACTTCAAAAAATAACAGGTAAGCAATTTTTACTTTTAATTTTTCTATTTCTTTATGCAGTCTGTCTTCTTCTTCGTTTAATTCCTTAGTTTTCTTCCTGTGCTCCTCTTCTGTGGCCATTTCGTCTTGCATTTCTTTCAATTTTGATTGCTCGTCGTCTGTTTCAGAATCAATATCCGGCTCCTGGAAAATATTCTAAATATGTAAAAATTTTGTCTCAAACACTTCAATCGAAGCAGGCAGAACAATGATAATTATTTGAGACTTATTAGTCAAGAAGCTGAAGCTAAAAAAGAATAAATACAATTTGTACCTTATTTGTATTTTTGTTTTTCTCATCGCTCTTTTGTATATTCAAATTAACCTTATTCTTTTCTTGCATGGTATTGCTCAAACTAAACTTAGTCATAGTTGAGTGTGACCTCTTCAAACCTCCAGCCGACCCTCTTTTATCCCTTTCTTCTTTTTCAACACTATTTTTAAGGCTTTTCAATGTGTTTAGGTTTTCTTTGACGCTCTTTTCCATAGATTTTGGTGCCTTACTGTTGTCTGTAGATTCTGGAAAGGCTAAGGCTGGCAGGCTGGCTGTGGCGCTGACTTGATGAAATCTTGTAGCCCAAGAAAGAGCAGTGTCGGATCTAAGTTTATGAAAATGAAATACATTACGCGGAAAAAAAGGGAAACACACATACCTTCTTGGTTTATTATTTCCATTTTTGAATCTTCGAGCTTTAACTGTTAACCAGCCATCAGAATGTTCGGCTTTGGAACTGTCATTGTTCAAAGTTTCTGAAGAACTGGCAATGCTGTTACTGGAGTTGGTTATGTTGTTCATATTCTCCCTTGATTGTCCCTAGAATTATATTAAAACTTGATAAATTGAAGAAAAAAAAAACTCTAGTTAGGACAGAATGAAAAACTCAACAAAAGTGGGATTTTGTAATTTTTCTTGAGACTTTGTATGGTTCACCTCACAACTCCATCTTTTAGCAGGGACTGAAAAAATTGTTCTAGAATATTTCTTATCTGTTAGATAAATTCACCGTTCTGTAATTCTATTGGTTTGAGGATAATTAGCTGACCAATAGGATCATAGATTGCGTTTTTATCCATCACATTGCATACCTGACAGTTTATCAGAAGGTGAATAAACTGGCCCTCAGTAGGATTCTTGGTCTGATTAGTTTTACTTTTTATCGGCTCAACCAATTCAGACTTAACGGTAGTGTTCTAGAATTATATCTTGAATAGATATTGCAATCTATGAGATATAAAATAGCAAGAAAACTCAACAAAAGTGAGATTGTGATTGAGTCATTTTTCTTTAAATTTTGGATAGAGTACCATTATCATTTTGTAGCAGCGACTTAATGAAATCTAGAATCATCCCTTGGATTAGTGTTGCAATCTGTAGGGTATAAATGGTCAAAGATATCAAAAAACTCAACAAAAGTGAGATTTTTATCCTTTTTCTCTCACTTTTTCTTGACACTTTGGAAGGGGTACCAGCTACTACCTTTAAATAGGGATTTGACAAAGTCCTCTAGCCTGCCCCAAAATAATTTTGAAATTGGTAGAGGATTGAGGCTTGGAAATATTTTGAAAAAATCAATAAAAGTACGGTTTTCATCCTTTTTCTAGAGATTCTGAATGGAGTACCATTACCATCCTTTAGCAGGGACTTAATAAAGATATATTATTTGAAGATCGCGGTGCGATTTCGCCATGGTGTACAGAATCTAACTTGAAATCTAGAAAATACTGCCTTATTACCGCAAAGAGATAATCACGTTTATTCTGAATTTTACAAGAATGGATTACAGATATAAACTCCTGGACAAAATTATCGCACCACTGCTTATGGTGCTTATGTGCAGTGGTGGTGCGATAATTTTGTCCAGGAGTATATAAAGGACGGTATTAGTTAATAGTTTTAAGTTTAAAATTGGCTGGAATAAAAATTATTGTTGTGTTAATTGGACTTTGATTTTTGAAAGTAGTACTGCTTAGTGAAATACGATTGCAGAGCAGTCTGGACACTGAGTGAACACTGGGACAATTAGTCAGTGTAAGCAGTGACTATCACAAGAAGAGACTTAACCGATTGTGTAAATTACCCCGGAAGTGATTGTATACTAAGCTGTATACCCAATTTTGACTGTGATAGTGAATTTTCAAGTAAGTTCTAGAAAATAATATTTGGAAACCAAGGGAGATATCGATTTGTGACTTCACCGACGTGTTTGCTACTTATATCAATTGGCATCCAGAAAAGATATCTCAAAAAAATTCTAAAACATTCTATTCGAGAATAAAGCAAGTTATCCAATTTGTGACTTCACCGGTGTTTGAAATATCAATCTTAAACCAGGAAAGTTATTTGAAGAGATTTTGAAGGAAATTCCAGAACATTCTGTATATGCCTATTACGAGACAACAAGCAAAAATGGAAGCACAAAAAATTGAAGAACTTCTGCGCAAAATGTTGGAACTTCAAGAGACAAAACGACAACAAGAAAAACAAGACGAAGAAGCCAGGATCTGTCGCTACCCTAGAACAAAAGATTAGGGAAGTTAAAGCCGAAGTTAAGGACGATGTTCAAGAAGTTAAAGACAATGTTCGAGAAGTTAAAAACAACGTTCAGTGAGTAAAAGCTGAGGTCAAAGCCGATGCTCAGCAAGAAGTCCTCACCTTCTTGCTAAAGATGAGGTGCATAAATTAAAAATACAGTCCATCAATCCAGGTAGTGTTGGAGCATTCTCTCGTATGAAGATAAAACTACCAACTTCTGACGGTTCAAAAATCGACGGGTCCGAGCGATTTTTTTCAATGAACGATGAATATAGTACGGGATACGAGACCTATTTCATCAAATCATTTCACACCGTCTTGCATTGTTATCATCAGTTAGATAATATGGTGCTGAAACGCACTTGTGCAAGGAAATAGTTGGGGGTGGGGGATTTCGCTGAAAAAAATGTTTAAGAAGATGTCGTCATAAACGAGGGAAATATATAATTATACACCGTCTTGCATTCATTTATTCAGTTAATTTGTACACAAACAGAATTGGATCAACCTATGCAAGACATTTTCATGGGGGCGATGGTTTGTAATATTAGATAGAAAGTGTCCATTTTTGAGTGGGGTCAAATATCATTTTACACCACTCCACTGTGGATTTAGATTAAAGCTTGAATGCAAGATAGCCACAAGACGTCCTGTGGCGGGATTACGGGCCGCAAGACGGAAGTTAATGCGTTGTCTTATGAGAGAATGAAAAATCATTTTACACCGTCTTGCACTAGCACCAATGGGGAAAACAGAATACATTGATAACATTTTTGAAAATACAAGACGTTCTAAATAAGAAAAAAGGACTGCAAGACGGAGATGAAGATGACTAACTTTGACGGGGGTCACAATCCACCTGGGCACCTGGTATAAAGGTGAATAATACTCCAAATAACAAATTACGCACATTAATTTCAGATTTTTTTGCTATTGTCCACGTGGATTAATTCTATTTTGCAAAATTGCATATCTCTACGAGCATCAAATGAAAAAAGATTGAAAACTGTTGATTTTTTTTGACGGCTTATGATCATTTAAGTTCTTTTTGGGGTAGATACAACACATAACTCATACCGGATTGTAAGCAATACATTTGAAAAAAAAAAACATTACATCACTTTTATTAAATTGTTTTAACAAAGATTTATAACAAAACAGGTGACACACTGCAGAAATGAAATAAGTCTTAAAAAACTTGATGCAAGAAACAGGAAATCTGTTCCATTATCACACGATACATATATTCAAATGAGGCAGAGAGCACACTGGCGAAATAATTTCTGCTTTGTTTTTCAGAAACTCCAGTGTCCTCCGTCTCATTTGAATGTATGTGTCGTGTGATAATGAAACAAATTTCCAGTTTCTTGCAACAAGTTCCATGAAACTTATTTCTCCAGTGTGTCACCTGCCCAACTAATCAGTTCCACTTCCAAAATCAGTATCTTCAAAATCTATAGGAGTGTATTCGTACGTAGTTTCTTCTACGCCAAGGTCTTCATTGTCGCTGCCATCATCCTCACTCGTATCGAATTCGTATTTGACGTCCGTATTGGAAATTTCCTCATCATCGTCTTCATCACTATCTTCACGATCTGAAAGTTTATATGTATATGATTAAATAGAAGCTGTTTGCAACATGTATTTTTGTTGTCGTTGACGCTATATCATTTTCTGGAATTACCTATAACAATATCGCTGATAACTCCTGTAGGTAATGCTGGACCATCAAACCAATTAAATACTAATTTATTTCCCTCCAACTTCCAGCCGCTTTCAGTTGGACTACAGGGTAATATTTGTAACGGGTGTTTCAGATGTGCATGTCGCCACATATGACCTATGTATCTACTTCGTGACAAATGCTGACGAAGCTCTGCTTGACAGGGTGGAATGGTCGACGCGTCGAAATCCATCAAGCGTTTCATAATTCGCTCCTTCGAATTTTTTGTTTGGTACACTTTAGAAAACAGCCCTATACGTGCGTCATTTACATTTTTCATGTTTCTCAAACAATACATATGACAAACAAATTCTTCCAATGTTGCATATGTTTGTGGTATTATGAGTTCAGAAGAATCAACCAAAATGTTGAAAGAATTTTGGAAACGCGTTGAAGCCTCCAGCAATTTGTATGGCCGCTGCTTTTCTCTTCTACAAAATGCTGGATTCTGGTCGCATCCGGTCAGAGCATGAAATCCCGCCAACGAGCAACTTAGTGTTTCACCCAATTGCTGATACAGTTTTGTAACATTTAAATTCCTCACATTGTTACCAACCCCAAGCCGCATCCATATGGTTAAATTTGTTTTCAAAAACTTCATATTGGCCAGACGTTTTTATAGCTCCATTGCTAACGGCATATATCATGTCTTCAGAAAATGATTTAACGAGCCTTTCACATTTGGTACTTTTCTTCTTTTTTAAATCGAAACCACTTATCAATGTCGACCAAAAAATTATTAATAGTTCGGGTATATCGCATTCACCCTGTATCAATTGTTGTGCATTGAGCTCTTCTGGTAAAGTATTAGTGTCAATATTTTTAATTTCATCCCTTAATGATAATGCGGCTTTCCTTATTATTGAATTAATTTTTAATCTTGAAATGAATGTATCAGCTAGTTCATTAATACCCCCATATGCAAGTACCGTTGATCCCTCCACTTCTAATATTTGAATTTTCTCACCAAAGGTTGCCAGCAATTTTTTTTTCAGGTAACTGGTACAAAATATTCCAACATCTAAGGAAACATTATCATATTGTTCCTTCAGAATTATTTGAAAATATTGGCATATATCGGAATACAATGCGCAACGTTTCTTGGACAAAATCTCCGCATTAATATATTCGCAAAGATTTTGATAAGCTTTCTTGTAGTGGTTGCGACGATCATGCCAGGCAGTATGTTTATCAGATAATTTTTTATTCATTTTGTTTAGATAACTTCGGTAGCAAACTATATGATAGATAAAAGGTGAATTGGAAGCTACGTAGAAACTTAAATCCAATAAAACATCTATGTCGTTGACTTCAGTTGCAATAGTTTTCATTTTTTTCAGAAGCCTGTCGGATTTTGCAACAATTAATAATTGCAAACGGCCATTCCTCCTTTTATTGCACTTACGACAGAAGAAACATTTTTGATCAGGTTGTCCATGGAAATCTTTTAGGTCTTGAAGGTTACTGAAAAAAAAAAAGAAATACCAACCATGACTATAACTGAACACCTGATTTTGAATATACTATATTGAATTATACTGATACTTTTATTACCTGGTGTTCGCGCCCTCATCTGCTGATGTTCTCTGAATTTTTTGGTCTCCTTCGATATCGGCAGTGTTAACAGTAGCCGTGGAAGGTGAAATGGAACAGCAATAATCTAACGTCAAAGAAGGCTGTCCAGCACTGTTAGAAGGCTGTCCAGCACTGGTAGAAGGCTGTCCAGCACTAGTAGAAGGCTGTCCAGCACTGGTAGAAGGTATCAAAGAATGCAAAGGTGCACTCACATTAGTTGGAGGATGCTTTACTTTTGGTCTTGGTTTATATTTATTAAAATCTACAGCAGAAAATCGCCTGTAACATGAAGAATGATAGCCGGCTTCTCCATCATTCACAGCCTCTGGCATTTTAACGTTCTTGAATTTCAAATCGTTATATGTTCTGATTTTTAATATGTTTTTACATTTATCTAATAAAGATTCATTCTCGAAAAGCTTACATTTTTCATTTGATTCTTTCCGACAGAAAATGCATAAAGCCATCGTACGTAATCTGCTAGAAGAAAAATTATTATTTTTCAATAATACTAGCTATGACATACTTACGTTCTGTTATGTTCAACTATAGATCTCGGGAATAATGAGTATTTTTTTTTTTTTTTTAATTTTTTCCAAGCAGCAAAAAATGACAGATCTGTCTGAAATTAAATTATAATTCCTGTATTCAGCAGACTCCCCTGTTGAACTGCTATGGCAACTGTCATTTTTCATCTATATGATTTAGAAAAGAATGAACAGTGAACGGGTTCAGTAAATAACTCAATAGTTCAGTGAAAAAAAAAACGGATTTATGTAATTTTTTCCCCAAAAAACGTCTTGTACTGATGTATCACTATTTCTTAACATATATTCTTTCGGCGAACATACGCATGAAGTGGTGTAAAATGATTTTTCATTCCCTCATGAGACAACGCATTGACCTCCGTCTTGCATCCCGTCATCCCGCCGCAGGAAGTCTTGCATAAGTATCCAGTGGCTATTCTACATTCAAGCTTCAATCTAAATCGACAATGGATTGGTGTAAAATGATATTTCACCCCTCTCAAAAATTGACACTTTATATCTAATATTGCAACCCAAAACCCCCATGAAAACGTCTTGCATAGGTTGATCCAATTCTGTTTGTGTACAAATTAACTGAATAAATGAATCCAAGACGGTGTATAATTATATATTTTCTTCGTTTTTGACGACATCTTCTTAAACATTTTTTTCAGTGGAATCCCCCACTCCCATCTATTTCCTTGCACAAGTGCGTTTCAGCTTCATGTTATCTAACTGATGATAACAATGCAAGACGGTGTAAAATGATTTGATGAAATAGGCGTCGTATCCCGTACTAATACGAGATATTGACCTTGTTTCGTTTTCGCTGGACCACCCTGTATAATGGGATTGTAGAGTAAAGATATCCTCTCCCTCTAGGGATCGTTCCCAACGCTTTTCAAGATCTCGAGACGCCCGCCCTAATAACAGACAGAAACCAACCAGTACGGAGGGGCGGATACTGGTTAGTAATGACGAAGCCCTCAGGGTTGTTTACATAAAATAATTGGGCAGTTATTATAAAGGATTAAAATTCGAAGGACAAATTAATGGAGAATTTAAAACCATCACTTTTGATACCGGTGCTGAAGTTTCTATAATTAGGAGAACATTAGTCAAGTCTCTGGTAATCCTTTCTGCTCACTAGAAACCTGTCACTATAAACAGTTACGGACGAATCAAAACCAGTTCAAAGAGAACCTATGGTTGAGCTTACTTTTGGATTTACCAACTTTAGGCACACAACATTAGCCGCCGATATAGGAGATGATTTTATTTTGGGAATGGATTTGATGGGCCAACATGGTTTTGTCTTTCCATCCTTCTATGAATATCCTTGAATTTGGTAATGAAGAATTTGTCCTAACTACACAAGAATTCCAAGCCGTTAAGATCCTAGCCACAAACCCAGTGAGGATTCCTAGAAGTACTGAGAAGATCAATTGCAGAAAATTGGAGACAAACCTTGGGTGCTGCGTTGGACTAACACAAACACATAATTTTATTGGAGATAACCAGAAAAATTTCTCGTTGGAAAGACTCTAGTAAGAACAAATGGAGAGTTTCTTCTGAAACCTGAAACAGTAAAAATAAAAGAAGGGGATATTATTGGAACTTTCGAAACAATTAAGCAAACATCGAACTGTGACCTACCAGATAAGCGACATTTTGAAAAATTGAAATTGGATACAGACACCTAGATGCAGACTTTGGAGAAATTATGGAAGCACCTCGAACCAGATAGATTAATCTTGAAAGAAGCAGACGTATTTATGATGGATGATCAAACCGGACGGACCAGTTTGATTCAACACAAAATTGATACTGGATTGGCACATCCAATTAATCAACCTCCTCGACGACCTCGACGTATGCCAGTAGCTAAACAGCAGGAAGTGGAAAACCAAATTGATAAAATGCTTCAAGAGAGAATTATTGAAGAGTCAAACAGTCCATGGTCTGCGTCAGTAGTATTGGTTACGAAGAAACATGGAAGTCTTAGATTTTGTGTGGACTACCGTAACCTTAATGACGTCACCAAGAAGGACATTTTCACCCTCCCGAGGATAGACGATACATTAACCACTATATCGGGCTTCAAATGGTTTTCCACCTTGAGTCTCAAAAGTGGATACTGGGGAAAGAAGTTTTTGACCGCTTCTGGAATGCCAACTTAAAACTCAATCCAATAAGTGTTTTCAATTTCAAAAGAAAATGGAATTCTTAGGTCACGTGGTATCTGAGGATACAAGTTATGAAAGGAAAGATAGATGCTGTCAGGGATTGGCCAAAGCAACGTGACAAACATAAACTAAGGAGTTTCCTAGGATTATGTTCTTATTATCGAAGATTTGCAGAAGGATTCGCTAATATAGCTGCTCCGCTTCATCGATTAACAGAAGAAAAATCAACAATCAATTGGACCCAAGAATGCGATGCCGCTTACATAAAATTAAAAGGAGCATTATGAACGAGCCCAGTGTTGTCCATTCTCGATCAGAAAGGCATGTTGATTTTGGACACAGATGCAAGCAACAGCAGTATTGAAGCTGTCCTTTCACAAATCCAAAATTCACAAGAGCATGAAATTTATTGTCTGGCTAGCCAATCGGCGAACTGCAATAAAATTTGCTGCTTTGCCAAACTTGACGGAAACAGTAATAAACAAGTTGGTGACATATTTTTTTTTGCTATATGGGATTGTGTAGTATTTTCTGTTTTAGCATTGTATAGGCCTCCCACTGGCCACTTTGACACTTTTCTGGAGTCGCTGGATGGTACACTCGCACATGTGGGAGTGGACAGGCCGATTGTTTTAGCAGGCGACTTTAATGTTCGGTTTAGAACCCAAGATGTTCATGCTGGGCAGGTATGTGACATTTTGGGGAGTTTTGGTATGAGCCAGACCATTGATGGGTCCACCAGACAGAATAACTGCCTGGATAACATCTTTGTGAATGATAAAACAAACACTCTTCTTGCTCAAATAATGGACCTTTGTATGTCAGATCACATGGGACAGCTTGTTGAGGTTTTTGTTACAAGGGATCCGGATGTGGTTGTGCAATCTAGGAAAGTATGTAGGCCAATAACCCAGGAAGGTTTGCATAACTTACATAATGTAGTAGCCCAAATTTCATGGGAATTTGTTTCCGATTCTAGTGTCAATATCAACTCAAAATTCTCAATCCTGATGGATATACTTCACTTCAGCATGCCTAGATGTCCTGCTTTCCAGAGAAACGATACATTGTCCGTTCGGCACAGTCCCATAGAATAACTTGGTTCAATGATGAGCTTAGGGAAATGAGGGAACAGTTGCATCTGTTGAGAGAGTTTAGCACAGATTTCCCAAGTATTGCTGCTTTGCAGCAATACACAGAAAGAAAGGAATTCTTCCATCAAATATTGCGATTTTCTTTAAAAAATATTTTTCAGTTAAGGCAAGGCATCTTGGATGAAAATATTATTATTGATTTAAAAATTATAATTAATTTCTATTTAGAAATATTTATTCTTAAAACATATTCTTGAAAATAGTAAAACTAACTCGACTCAAGAAAAACCTAGTTTTATTTAAAACAATATCCAACCTGTATATTCTTGTATCTATCAATATTTAAATCAAATCAATAATCTCCGGTTTTTTCAAGTCAAGACAAAAATTAAAATTTTACTTCGTCCAAGAATTGCATTATATGGAATATTCTTGAAACAAGACAAGCTGTGACTTGATCGGCACAATTTTATTTTGAGTGGGTATCTAAAACAAATTTCATGCAGAATTGCATTCAGTGTTTTACTATTTGTGGGGTGGATTACAACGACCGGGCGCCGGGCGACAGAACGTTTTGTGCGTGACACGTGAGTGGCGCAAATAAATACCTACCAAAGAATCCCATGGTTAACAGCATAAGACAATATTATTAAAAAAATATCTGCTGTGCGATGGCTGAAGAAGTAAAGGACTTGCTTGAATCCTGGAATGTCCCGATTGACATAATAAATAACTTTTCAGGTATGTATGTATTATCGTTGATTGATACCTATTATTAAGTAAAAGTTAAAAGTCTTGGGTTAAAACCAAGAAACAACAAAAAATAGTGGCATTATTTTTTATTTTCCACTTTTTACATTGGGTGTTTTATTAATAGCTATCGTAAAAAGATTAAAGTACAGATTCTATGGTCAAAAATTTTAAAAAATACGGTTTGTTTTCGAGATACGTTCTAGGTGGAATGCTGGAAAGTAGTTTTTTAAATTAAAACCTTCAGATAAATAATAACAAATGTAGTGGTAGTATCTGGAGGTAGGTACAGAATATTTTATTACAATTTATTTTTTGTATTTTAGATAACAATATAACTCTAGACCATTTCTAATCTTTAGATGATGCCTTCTTAAAAGAATTGTGCCCACCTATCGGAACAAGAATCCAATTAAAAAACGAAATACTCGAATTCTTAGCAGGAAGAGATTCCATGGTAAATAACAATGAAAATTCTTTGCATAAGCCTTGTAGCAGTAAATTTCTTTTATGTTGGCGATTTTAATACCCAGAAAATTTAATCCATACCTGCAACTGTTCAAAAAAACATTATTTTTTTCAATTGCCAAATGTTTTTAACTTGAATTTTTTAATTATTATACAGGCGGATACTGAAACAATTTATAGTGACAGCAACGGCACAACAGATGGGGTGGAACTTGAGAGAGTTATAGAACAAGACAATTTACCAGGTCCTAGTTTCACCCAAAAAGAAAATTTACCAGGTCCAAGCTGGCAAAATGCGGATACTTCTAATGATGTTTCATCAGGTTTGGAGGAATTAGAGGAAACACTTCGTAACCTAATACGACCCTCATTGCCAGAATTCGACCTAAAAACATTATTACAAACTTCTCCTTTGGGAAATTCAGTATTACAATTTTATAATGCTAATGGCTCATTGGACCAAAAGAGGCGAAACAGACTTGTGGATATTATGATTAAACATATATTCAATTATACATATAGTGAAACAGTAAGTGTTTTAGCATTAGCAATTTTTATACTCGAAAACAAACTAATCTTATCTAAATACGTTAGATACCTATACAATTTTTTTTAAATGTTTCTAGATACTCTTAGACCTTCTGATGTACAGGGTGTTATTGAATAGTAGTATCAACATTTTAGGATTTTAGTACTCATTAAAATAAGAGAAAAGTAAATAGAAACATAGGTCTGCAAATGCTTAGTTTTTGATATACAGATTGAAAAAATTGGTTTTTCAAAATCTGTTTCCCGAATTTTTTTAAACTTGGCAGATTTGTTTGTAATAACAAAAGTTATCTTTTGACTCAATTGAATCTACCGTCGTAATTATTCCAGTGGCGCCCCAGAAGGCAACTACGTTGGTGAAAGAAAAAAAATGGCACGTCACTATTTTTTCATAACTTTCATATTTTTTTCAGATTAAGCAAGTCATATTCTAAGGTCATATTAGTCAAAAGATACCTTCTGTTATCACAAACAAACCTGCCAAATTTTAAAAAAAAAATGGAAATGGGATTTTTTTATTAACTGTTTTCCTATTTCGATGAGTACTATTTATCCTAGAAGTTTGATCCCACTATTCATTGACAGCCTGTATAATGGAGTAAATGACCTCCACCCTCCACTAGGTTGTTTTGGGACCCTTCGCCTTTCAAGCTTAAAGAAAGCCTAGAAAAATAGTTGAAAAAATCGCTTGCAAAAATCTAAAATGATTAAATGAACTGGGCCAGATCCATTTTTAAGTTAAATAATATTGGCATTAAGCAATAAAAGGTACCTGGCACTTTGTATAGGCAACATTGCAGTTAAAAAAAAAAAAAATAATGAAGTGAAGGAGAAGGATTTTTTAAATTATTTTTTTGGGGTTCCTTGTGGGGTCTCCTACAACGTAGTGGCGAGCTTTCACGCCAATTTTATACAACGTGTATATATCCAGCAGGCTGAAGTTCGATGACTACAAGATACTAGCAGCAAAAATTGTAGCTTTGTTTCCCAAAGAAAATATTGGGACTTACTTTGTATCACCTATAAAAAAGTCATTATCGGTCAAAGGAAAACCCGTATTTGCGAAGGGCAAGCTAGTAGACAAATGTCGCAATCTTTTATACATATCTGGCGAGAAACGAACCAATAGAAAACGGCCATTACAAGAAACTACTGATTCAACCACCGAAGAAGGGGAAGAAATAGGTGTAAAGAAGCAAAAACTCGAAGGTATATTTTTCAAGTACCTATATGGAAGCTCAAATAAATTGGCGTTTTAAAAGAAGATGTACAGGGTGTTTATGTTGAAACTTATCATCCCTATTTTCTCGAAATTGAAAAATTCCCAAAACACCTCAACTATAATTTGGAAGGGGATAAGTTTTTATGCAAAATTCACCTTTCCCCATTTAACCTTTAAAATTTATTTGTGTTCATAAAATCCATTCTTAAAAATAATAATAAAGAAAAATAAATACAATCATGAAATTAAAAGGGGCATAACTTGTTAGGACTGTTAGGAGTGCAACTGAATTCAGAAAATTTAGTACCAATCACTCCTTTCTATTTGGAATTTTTGGGGAGGTAGCTCTGGGGGTTAGGGAGCTAAAGGGGGAAGTAAATTTTGCATAAAAACTGATTCCATTCCAAATTATAGTGGACGTGTTCCAGGAATTTTTTTCAAAAATTTTCCAATTCTGCGATAATGGGGGTGGTACGTTTTAAAATGCACACCCTGAAAGTAATCTTTATAACCTTGTTTATTTTCAGAGCTGCATAAAGAAAACATTCTTTGGTTGAAAGTCAATCAGGAGCCATGGAACTCTGTCATAGTTAAATGGGAGAGTACTTTTGAAGTTAGACAGACTTCGGAATATGTTTCGGTAGAGGATTTTCTTAAAAATTGGCCAATTTTGCTCGACTTAAGGGGTGACGTTTTGGTAAGCAAAATAAAGTTAATATGCTTATACCTACATATGTATATATTTTTTATAAATTTTGTCCTCAAAGATTTTCACAGGCTTCGTTTTTGTGTTGTATGTATGTTATGTCTTCTATAAATTCATATTTTTCAGATTAACCTCGATTTTAATCGTATCTACCCTGGGAAAGGTACGCATTTTTTTGAGAAGTGGCAGACCTTCTTTACCAAAATATTGGAAATAAGAAAAAAGGATTTACCAAGCAATGATCCCTATATAGCCGCATTGTTGGATGCATTAGATACCATTGAAGACAATGGTAAGAAGCTATTTTGCATTTTACAATCTGCTGATTTATATTTCAAAAGTAGTAATATATTCAATATATTTTTTAGATTCCAAGATTACGACACAAATAACTCTTCTTCCACACCTCATACCACCAAAAGGGCGAACGATCATAGAAAAGAAACACTGGAAGTTTTCGACTCAAGAAAGTATTGAAAGTCTGGTGGTGCTCGTTAAGGTAAGAATACTAATGTGTGTACACATGTATGCATACGTACTCTTTATATGAATAAAAAAAATATATTTGTTATTTTTAGAATCCTGGTGATATAGAGAAAACTATAGCCGAACAAAAAGAAAAGTCATTAAACAAAAAACAAACGGTTCAGCCATATATCCTGGTAGATGGCCCTGACCTGATAAATTTTAGAAGAATATTCTTGGTTGTGGATACTTTAAGGTACCAATTTGATTACCCTAAAAAAGCATTTGATATTTTATTTAAGGCCTATCACGTATTTAAAGCCAAGTATCCTCTACCTGGAGAACATATTTATTTGCTTATACAAAGGTGTATCTATAAGATCAAAACCAAGTATGACATTATTCAGCCATATGTGCTGAATATTTTACAACAATTAGAATAGTGTTTTATATTATTTTTTTAAAGTGAAAAATGGAATGTTCCATGTGCCCAAAGGTTTTGTGTGATTTCAAACAATATATACTTCACATGGAATGTTTTCATAATTTAAATTCAAATTACTTTGTTTGTCCTATTCCAAAATGCAGTAGAACTTACCATCGAAAAAACTCCTTGAAACAACATATGAATACTGTACACAAGTCTGACTCTAATCCTCATAATATAACAACAATTAATAGCAAAGATACCTACGATAAACCTAATTCAAATATCGACATTCATTTAGAAACCGATAATACTTCAAAGGAATCTGCAGAGGTTGTAACCGATGATGGCCCAAAAAAACTGTTTGCTGAGTTCCAAACACTATTCGCGATTTCGGTTGATAAATTTATTGCTCAATTTTATTGTAGTTTAGTAGTTCCAAGATCAGTTATTCAAACTTTTATAGAATCTGTTTCTGATTTTCTTGCGTCTGGATTAATTCAAAAGATAATAAAATCTCTAGAATATCTTTCCAAAGATCATGATTGTGTTGCATTGGATTATATAAATTCTATGCTTAAATTACTGGAAAATCCATTCTCATCGCTGAATACAGAGTACAAACGATTCAAATATTTTCAAAATTCTGCAAAATTACATATGCCTCAGGAAATTTTTCTTGGTGTTTCAGAAGATAAAGTTCGGAAAGATAATGAAGTATCTTTGGTCCTAAAGCATAGATACGCACTTTACGTTCCACTAAAAGAATCAAACGTTTTTTAGAGTTACCCAATGTTTATAATTGCATAAAAAACTACCAAGAAGAACTAAATAGGGAATATTCGGAAAATAAAGTTCTACGAAATATTATAAATGGAAGCGTTTGGTCTTCCAAATTTAATACTGATACTTTACCCTTAGTATTGTATTATGATGATTTCGAAAGCGGAAATCCACTTGGAAGCCATGCAGGATATTATAAAATAAGCGCTATGTATTTTTACATTGCAACATTACCGCCTGATCACATTAGCAAATTAGAAAATATATTTGTTACTTTCTTGCTCCATTCAATTGATAAGGCAACTTTTGGGAATTCTGTATTTCAAACTATTATTAATGAATTAACTGTCTTAGAAACTAACGGAATTGATATAAATATAAATAATAAATCTGTCAATGTCAAATTAGCATTGGCTGCAATTACTGGTGATAAGTTAGGAGTACATGGCATACTCGGATTATTTGAAAGTTTTTCAGCTACACATTTTTGCCGATTTTGCCTTATTTCTAAAGAAGAAACTAAAACACTTACGCATGATATACAAAAGTACATGCGAAAAGAGTCTGATTATGATGATCACTTGCATCGTAAAATTGGTGTTAAAGAAAATTGTATATTCCATTCATTACCTAACTTTCATTTGTATAGAAATGTCACTTGCGATGTTATGCATGACTTATGCGAAGGAGTTCACCGATATAGTATGGCCGTTTTAATTGATAATTTAATTAGAAAGAAATATTTCACATTGGATAACCTAAATGCTAGAATAAGATATTTTACATATCAAATTTCTGAAAAAAATGTTCCTCCTCCCGTAACAAAACATTTATTAAACGGATGTATTATTTTCTCGGCATCAGAAATGTTATGTTTCGTTCGAAATTTTAGATTTATTATTGGTGATTTAATTCCGGATAATGAAGCTTTATGGATATATTATTCAAGTTTATTGGAAATTACACAAATTTTAACTAGTCAATCAATAACTAATTCAATTTTACAGCATCTAGAAACTCTCATTGATGAACACCATCAGATGTTTCTCGCTCTTTTTAACACTTCTTTGAAACCCAAATTTCATCTTTTGGTACATTATGTTCACATAATAGAAAAAATTGGTCCTCCTATTTTCATTAGCAGTTTCAAAGGTGAGGCCAAGCATAGAGATTTAAAAGTAATTGCACAATCTATCAGAAGCAGGAAAAATTTACCGTATTCGATTTTAGTAAGATGCCAATTAAAGAGTTTTTACAGATACATTTCAAATAAGGGATTTATTAATAGAATTTTATATAGTGATCAAATTAATATTGATGACGTTGATTCTAACCTAAATTTGGAACCTGGGGATTTCTATTCTATTAGTTGGTACGAAATAAACGGTGTTAGATACGAGACTGAAATGGTACTGATATATAAATATGAAAATGACGATGTTCCTTGTTTTTGTAAAATTACAAATATTTTTTTAAATCAGCACGATGAGAAGTTATTATATATGGAATGTTCTCCTTTAAGTATTATCGGTTACTGTGAACATTTTAAAATTAATTCCGCAGACTTGCAATCAAAAATTACAGTTAGATTGGAGGAGTGTTTTTCCATATTGCCTACCATCATTCACAAAGTTGGAAATAGTGAATATGTGTCACTTCAGGAATGAATAAAGAATAAAGTAATAAGTGGATTTGAGTTGTGAATATGTTTGCCTTTGACACAGTTTTCACTTTATTTCGAATATACGAAAGTGGTATTTATTTTTATTTTCATCAGTGTTGGGTTTAAAACTGAAATTATCACACTATTCTTATTTTATTTTAAGAGTTATTTTCCTTTTTTTTCCAATGGCTGTATTTGAAAGAAGACTGATAATTTGAAGACTACCAAAAGCAGATTTAAGTTGTGAATATTTGAAAGTGTTTTTTATTTTTATTTTTATTAGTGTTAGGTTGAATACTCAAATTATCACACTACTCTTATTTTATTTTACTTGTTATTTTTCGTTTTTTTTTGTTTTTCAATGGCTGTATTTGAAAGTAGATTAATGATTTGTAAACTATCAAATCTAAAAGTACAAACTCAAATTAAATTTATTCTAGGTTGTTTATACTTAACACATTTATAAAGTTTCGTCACCCTCTAGTTTAGTTACATTGTTTTTTTAATAAAGAAAAATAAAATTTGCCAGAAAATATTTTTTTTTTTACACCTAGTTATACCTAGTACAATAATAATTGTGCTTGATTTTAGGTACCTATAGTATATATTTTTTTCTACCTGATGTAACAAAATTACGTGTACAAAAGGTGAGTACTTATAGATACCATAACTGAAAATAAAAATATGGCGAGTTTAATTGGACTCACCTATTCTTAAAATTTGCTTCATTTTTCTGATATGTAGTCTCTTGAAGTGACAAACATCAATGTATTTTTGAAGCTTTGAAGTGGAAAAAGATAGTACATTAAATCCATATAAACTCACCCTATTGTGATGTAGGGTATCTGTGCTCACCTTTTGTATACGTAATTTTGAAACATCCTCTAAACAAAAATATAATAGGTACCTAATATCAAAGCACAATTATTCTTATTTTGAAAATATGAATAGGTGATGATATTCTTGAATGAAAACTATATTTGAAAAAACGATGCTTCATACGAGAACAAGTATTCTAAAATCAAGAAACTGTATTCTCCAATTTTATACCCGCATACTAATTCTAAGAAAATATTGATTTGAGTTAGAGAAATAAAATTCTCTATTGGAAATTCATTTTATGCGAATTTGTTTGAATTGAATACATGACTAATTTCCTCTAAATATATGGAAAATTCTTTAAGGAAATAAAATATTTTCTTTTCATGAAATAATATACGCAAGCAATCCCTTTACTTACAAGAAGAATATATTTTTTTCGTTATATATAAATCACTTATTATCTTAGAGCAAATCAAATTGGTTTAATTGGAAATATTTTTTCTTTATGTGTACAAACAATTTAAAAACCTCTATAAAAAAGCCATTATTAAAGCTAAAGTCCAGTTCCAAGACAACTTAATCCGCTCCTCAGGTCACCCTCCTAAATGTATGTGGCAGCTGATTAATAAACACAGGAATCAGGGCATGGTGCGAACTGAACCTGATAACATAACACCAGAAGATTTCAATGACTACTTTCTGAGTATTGCTTCTGACCTGGTGAGGAATATTCCTGACACTGGGATTGATCCAGTTGCGAATGTTCGGACGGAGACTTCAGAGTCTTTCTGCTTTTCTCCTGTCACTTATAATGACGTTCGTGACAATATCAGACTTAAAAAATAAAAATAGCTGTGATATCTACGGTTTAAATGTGAAAGTCATAAAAACCGTGAAAAACATTATTTTAATGCCACTCACTAAATTAATTAATCAGGCTTTTAGTGCTTCTGTCTTTCCGCAGGTCTTAAAGGATGCAGTCGTCATACCACTGTTTAAAAAAGGCGATCCTAGTAACCCTGGTAGTTTTCGACCAATTTCTTTGCTGCCGATCGTCTCCAAGATCCTGGAGAAATGTATGGCAAAGCAAATTACAGATTTTTTTGAGGATAATTCTCTTTTTAGTGATGTTCAATTTGGTTTCCGAAGAGGCAGGAATACCGTGGGAGGTGTTCTCAACCTAATTTCCGATATACTTCAGTCCTTTCACTCAAACCAATACAGTGCCGTGCTATTCTGTGACCTGAGTTGAGGCTTTCGACTGCGTCGATCATGGGATCCTCTTGCGCAAGCTTCGGGCCTATGGTTTTTCTGACAAGAGTGTTCAACTCTTGAAATCGTACTTGCGGGGGAGGAGACAAGTGGTTAGGAGTGCGGGTGTGGCGTCGGCGAAGAGAGATATGACGATTGGAGTGCCTCAGGGTTCCATTTTTGGCCCTATACTATTTCTTATTTATATAAATGATTTACCAATGACGGATTTGGGTGCACGGTATACTCTCTTTGCCGACGACACCGCAGTGTCTGTGTCAGCAGACTGTTTACATAGCGTCTTGGAGGGTTCTGTGGCGGCGCAGGGGGCGGCTGATCAATGGTTCAGAACAAATAGGCTTCTCCTAAACACAGATAAGACAAATAGGATGGTTTTCTCTATGAGAGACCTTTCAAATTTTGACTCTAATGATGCTGCTGATGTAAAGTTTTTGGGCGTGTATGTGGATCCTCGACTCTGGATCGATGTTCATATTGAGAATACTTCAGTCAGATTGAGAAAGAACCTGTACTTGCTGCGTTCTCTTTCTAAAAATGTGTCTCTTCCAACTTTAAAAACGGCATGTTTTTCGGTTTTTCACTCCCATCTTGCATATGGTGTTCTTGATTGGGGACACGTATCAGGTGCACAGCGCATGTTTGGCCTACAGAGAAAGGCTATTAGGGTTTTGGGGGGTCTGAGATTTCGGGACGATTGCAGAGCTTCTTTCAAAAGTCTACAGATTTTGACGCTTCCATGTGTTTTTATACTGGAATGTGTCCTTTATGTCAAACCAGACATCTTTTCACAACCCATCAGGACCGCAATTCTGGTAAAACGTTACGTTTTCGAGGGCGCTGAGCGATTCGCACGGCGTGCGCCTCGCATGGCAGCCGCGACGTTCGACCTGTTAGGTATTTCCGTTGCCGTGCGTGCGCTCTCCGAGCAGACTTCCTCGAATTCGCTAAGCACAACTTGGCAACCCCAATTTTCAGTGCCCCCAACATAAAAATTACTGAAATTTGACAAGAAGTCACGTCGTAGTTTTGACAGTTTTGCTGATAAAATTTTTATTTTCGAGCTTATTTGTGAAAAAATGGAGAAAAAAACCATCTCCCCACAGCAAAAAATAGTTCTTATAGAGTTTATGGAGCAAAACCCGGTAATGGTAACACAAAAACAGAGCAACCAATTTACTAACGCCGACATATCAAAATTATGGCAAACAGTAACCCTGACTCTAAATTCCATTCCAGGAGCTACGAAAACTTGGAAGGAATGGAGAAAGGTAGGTTTGTACCTATAATAATATCGATTATTGTGTACGTAAGTATATTATGTTTATTATTTATTAGGTTGAAATTAAAAAAAAAAAAATTAAGAGTTACAAGTTTTATGTTAAATTTTATTCTGATTTGCATAAAACAAGGGCCTTTTTTAGACTTGGAGTGATATTAAATCAAGGACAAAAAAAAGGGTACATGAAAACAGGAAGGAAGCCCTAAAAACTGGTGGTGGACCTAATATTTCGGAGGGGGTCAATACTGAGGATGAAAAAGTTTTGGAAATTATTGGTAAGTTGATATTATATCATAACAGTGTAGGCTAGTGACACATTCAAAGCATTTTGATTAAAAAAAATAGTCGTTATTTCCTTACCAAAACTCCTGCATAGATTTTCTATATAAAAGCTATCGAGAATCTATGTGGAGTTTTTCGATTTTTATGATATAACCAAGTGTTTATGAAATTCTAAGGCCCTCTCACCTCTCTAATCTCTGTGCCATCTTCAAAATGATCCATGAGGTGGTGAAGATAAAAAGTACACAGAGTAAAATGTCCATAAGAATATGTTAACATAAAAAATAATTACATTTTTTCATATTCTAGGGGGTGACCTTCTAATTGAAGGAATTGACGTGCCTGAGGCAGGAATTCCCATTGTTTGGAAAAAACAAGACTACTTGCTACAAAAAGCAGTGACTACATCAGTGCAAAGTGAAGAACAAGAAGAACTGATCGGAAAACCTCAAGCAGCCCAAAAAAAAGAAATTGACATCACAGATGAAGAACCTGAGAGAACAAAGGCGGTGCCTAAGCAAAGACCGCAATCTATCAAGGCAGTCCGCCCACCGGTCACCCCTATAAGTAGAGGAAGAACCCACAAACAGAATAGAGCTGCTCTTGAATTGGTTCAGGTGGAGGATGAAGGTAATAAAATAAGGGAAGAATATTACAACAAAAAATTGAAATTGATGGAACAAACCAGCCAGGAAAATCTAGACATAAAGCAGGAAGAGTTAAAGTTGAAAAAAGAAGAAAATTACTTAAAACAAAAGGAAATAAACATTCTAGAAGAGATATCCCAGAGCATTAGATCATTTTTGAATAAAATTTCTGAATAAATATAAAAATCCGAGGAGTAAATAATGGTTTAAAATGGAAATAATTAAAATAGTAATATCCTGTGATAAATATTTTAAACCATTGATAGGTATTGATAAATAAAATTTGGTTGTATTTCTTTTCAGAACTTACTGAAAAATTATTATTATTACAAAAAATTCACAGCAACAGTTGTTTATTTCAAAGATTCTATATGTACGATACAGGGTGTTTGTTTTTCGAGGTTAACCATTAGAATCTCGGAAATGGTAAGATATTTCGGTTTTTCCCGATTATCTCCGAAAGCGGAATTTATCAGTTGCAAAACGGCATTTCATCGAGCATCAAATTACGCAACTTTGCTCTAATTTAACCGATTCCGTTTCTCTTACCATTTCCGACATCCCAACCCCAACGGTGGACCTCGAAAAACAGACTTCCTGTATTTACATTTATATTGGGTACTAATTACTTAAAAATATGTTCTAGCTAAAAAATTTCTGATTTGTCGGCCACGGTTGAAAAAGTTATTCATTTCCAAGCGTCTCTCTTCTTGTAAATCATTTTCAAAATTGTCTATTATTTCGTTTTCATAATCTTCATTATCATCTAGGATGAGTGGAACGTTGTTTTCTACACAAATATTGTGGAGTATTGCACATGCCGTAACAATTTTACCAACTGTTATAGGGGCATAGTGCAGTACTCTATCTTTGAGAAGGCACCTAAACCTGTTTTTAAGCTCTCCAAAGGTCCATTCAATGAGCACTCTAATTTGCCTCATCCTCTCATTGAAACGAAAATTGGGTGTTCCAGGGGCTGGTTGGGGAAGGTAGGGGGTCATTAGCCAGGGTCTAACAGGATAGCCAGAGTCCCCTAAAAAAAATGCAAGAATAAAAATTTTACATTTGGATTGTAAACTATCTCAGCAAGAATGATTTGCATTATAAAATTATTATCTAATATACCGTACGTTCAATTTATTTCTATGAGATTTTAATTATTTTTATTATTTTTTAATATTATTATTATTTAATATTTCCGAAACAGTTGAAGATAGGTATATAAGATTGTACATGAAATACGTCTAGAATTTTCCGCAAAATCCATAAATATCATAACATACAGGGTGATGCATTTGAAAAAACAAAGTTGATAGTAGCGGAGCTATTTTTGAGAAACCCTGTATAATAAAAAAGATATCAAAAAATTTCGAACAAAAAAACAAAAATGACGTGTCTGAGCGATTTTTCAAAAATTCTACCGTTTTCAAAATAATGAATTTATCCGTTACTTTACGGACACACTGTATATTAGATACATATGTGTTTCATAGAATATCTTATTCCGGATACAATGATATAACACCACACTTCATATTTTAATCCACTCGTTTCTGACAAATCGGCAAAAATATGTGTAACTTGAAAAAAAACCTTGGCTACTATCCCTATATTTTTTTTTTGTTTACATGTATCTATATCCTTAAAAACAAAAAAGTTACAGCTAATTAAAATGTTGATTGTGAAAATAAATTAATCGCACGGTACCTACCTATCTACTTTGAATGATTAAAATCCTACCTAATATATAAAAAATTCCCATTAGGTTGTCATCAAGAGTCCTTAAAAATTCCTCAACTCTGGAATTTCTCCACACAAAACTATCATGTGTGCTTCCTGGAAAGCGTGCATTGACATTGAGAATTTTTTTTTTCATCACAAATCTAAAATTACAAAGCCTAAAAAAAACAAAAAAAAAACAAAAAAAAAACTTTACCACAGACTATGCGGTAAAGTTAATTTTACCGCACACTATATGGTGTAGTAACTTTACCGCATGGTGTGCGGTGACGTGCTACTCTGCCCTTTTCACTTTATTGAGCTATTTTTTTTTAAATAAATAACTTATTACCATTTGGACATTCAGAGAATGAACATTTTTCCTGTTCACATACACATGTTCATTCACGACTGGAGTGACTAGGTTTATGTGGGTGCAGTCGATAATACCCACTATCCCAGGAATATTTGTATTCTCAAAAAAACTAAAAAACATGTTATCTAATTATATTATTACAGTTGCCTGTTCGAAGATATATTGTTTAACTTCTTTATAAAACCAATCTAAGTTCGAGATTAAGAAACATCACACCTTTGCCTTAATATTCTCAACTCTTCTAAAGAATTGGGATAGTGAATGTAGTTATTCACAATAGCTGGATTGTTCAAAGCCTCCAATACTTCATGGAGACTACGACTTACTGATGGCTGACTGATAGTTACAGCATGGTTTCTCCCTATATCAAGCTGGTAACTTCCACCAGCAAAAAATCTAAGAGTTGACAAAATCTGAAAAAAAACACATTTTTTTTGTCAATGAGATTCAGACTAGTAAAATCTTGAGCGAAAAATTTAGCATAAAAACAACAAATGAGCCTAATTTACATGTCCCATTTGAAACAATAAATATCCACCTAAATGCAAAAGTATTTAAAGATAAAGTTAAAAGTGGGTATGACCATTAAGAAAATATGAAGTAAGACATATTATTATCTATAGGCAGAATACATAAGTACGTGATATTTAATAGAGCAAATAAATCATTTTTTTCACTGATGCATTTTGCCGCCTTCAAGAAATTATGAATTTTGCTGTGGAAAACCGATTCAAGACAGACATTGGCAATCAAAATGCATGGATAATATAAATAGACAGGGTTTTCTCTTACGTCATACTTCTTGCTGCTTGAATCACAGAGCCCTATATAGATAAGCCCTTACATTCCCATTGAGTCTTCATTATCATAGAATGACATAGAATAACCAATGCCCACCTACCTTGAGTCTATTGCTTAAAGCATCCCGTCTTCTCCTTATCGGAAGAAATGGTTCAAGCATCTCTTCTAAATTTGTAACATCTTGTTTTCGAAGCCTATACATCTTCATGAAATTTCTGTCCGAAAATTGGAAGGGATCATCGGGCAGAAAGCGCTCCCTCCCGATGTTATTTCCTATATTGTCCAGCAGAATTCCCCCAATATATGGTACCGCCATTGTAAATGAAACACAAATAGATGTGTAGTTATTAATTATTGCTATAATTATTTTACGTCACACACTGTCACTAAGCAAAACGGCTACCAAATGGTAGACGTTTTTAGGACGCTTACCGTGCGCTTTGCGCACCTAAGATATGCACAGCGAAAAACACATCTGAATACCAATTTTGCTGATTCGGTCAAGTGCTTTGCGAATTTGACGTCAAAAAACGCTCAACGTGAACGAAACGCTAAGCGAATTAGGTTACGAGAATAGGGGTCCAGGACCTTCATGATTATCGAACAAGGCACAGGGAGGATATTGCGACTGTCTATTGGCGTTTGGAAAGGTGTGCCAGGATACTGGGCTATAAAATTTTTCAATTGTTTACCAAATAGTGTTAAGGATTTGGATATGAAGGACTTCAAAAGTAAAATGAAGCAAATTTTAATATGTCATTGTTTCTATTCATTTGCAGAATTTTTAAATTTTGATTTTAATAATGTTTTGTCATAGTTATAGTTTTTGAAATGTATCTTGTAACTTGTTATAATGTATTTTATGTCATACCAATACATTATTGTGTTTTTATACCTTAGATACCATCTACATAATTCATTACTTTATGCCCGTGCGGGCATAAAGTAAACATTATGGCCCGCGCGGGCATAAAGACGCAAAAAACAGTTTTCAATTAACTTATTCTTTATCAACAAAATATAAATTTACGCTTATAAACATATTATTTTTGTCAAAAAATGATGATGTTTGCACACTGATGACAATTTGGGAAGTGACACTTTTTTCCCAGGTATTTACTATTCACAACCAACTGGTATGACATAAAAATTTGTATGCACCACGGGTACTAATAGATATATATACCCTCGGGCGACTTACGAACCCTCGGGCCAGAGGCCCTCGGCTTTGTAAGGCTGTCGCCCTCAGGGCATAATCATCTACTTAGTACCCTTGATACATAAATAACTATTATATCCTACTGAACTATTAAAACCATATAATACCTTGGTTACGATAATCATAAACAGGGTCTTAACTCCCAAGGGAGTTAAGGATTTTCATAACTCCCAAGGGAGTTAAGGATATTGTTGGATTTTCTAATAATTATTCCTGAATTTTATATTATTATTTATATTATGGTGCAATCTATCCTTATTGTATTGGTTACAAGTATTGGTGCAATACCAATTCTCCCAAAACATAAAAAAACCCACAAGAAGGAACAAGTTTTTTAATATGCTTCTTCCCCCCAAATTCCAATAATGGACTCGTCCACACCTAGATATTTTAAGGGAAGCGCCATTTCTGTATAAATTCCTGGAAGAGTCGTGAGTTGGCTATCGCATAAATAGGTACTTTGCTACCCGCCGTATTGAAGAAGCGGCGTCGCGAAGTCGCGTCCAAATTTTAATTAATTAGCAAGAAATTGCTATTGCACAAAATACAGACAATAAATAAAAAATGTAACTTTGTTTATTGCCGATTGTCATCGTAATGTTTTGAAAAGTTAATACAGTCCACTTTTATTAAGAACAACCCGGTGTTTCGTAATTATTTTCTATTACATAACCTCTCGGGTAAAAATGAGCTATTGAAGCTTTTATGTGTTAACATAAAATTTGGTCCTTCGAGCCGGATTCGATTCGTGTGTAATCGTCGGTTTTGTACATACTCTTGTGTAAGAGTATACTTACTTAAGAGTGTAAGAGAACTTTGGATTGGTTGTACGGTACGTGTGTACCTACATATTCCTTGTTCGGAGTGTTGGAGCTGAAATACCTACCTAGTTGGAGTTGTGAATCTCTACGAGGACTAAGGTCAGAGCTTTCCATTTGTTTTTATTAATCTATGTTGAGTTGAGATTGATAACGTTGAGTTTTTTCTATGCTTCACAAGTTTTGTCCTTTAGCAGACACAATGGAATAAAAAGACAATTTTTGATAGAACAAAAAGACACTTTTTATTTAAATAAAAAACTAAACTCATTTCATTGAATTGAAGTCAAAAAAGATTGTTAAACTTAAATTTTGTTTAATTATTCAAGTTCATAAAAATGGAGGAAGATCTAAAAACATTTATTGCTGATAGAAAAAATGCTAGAGCTAGTATTACTAGGATTGAAACTTTTTTAACAAGAAATCAAAATGATTTAATGCATAAATATGAGTATGAAAATAGGCTTGAAATGTTGGAAAAAGCTTTCGAAAAATTCTCCATTTCACAAGATTCAATAGAAAATATAGGAGCAAGTGCAGAAAAAATAGGCGATAGGTCAGAAACTGAAGATAAATTTTTCAATTTAAAAACAATACTAAAAATTTTGATTGACAAATGTTCTCCTGTCTTGAATAATGTAAATACAAGTGTAAATAGTAATGTTTGTCAAAATAACTCCAATAATTGTACAATAGGTTCTAAGATGCCTGAGATAACTATCGATAAATTTAAAGGAGCTCATCAAAATTGGTCAAGCTTTTTTGACATTTTCAAAGCGTTGGTTTTAAACAATCCCAATTTGCCAGATATACAAAAATTAATCTATCTAAAATCCAATTTACAGGGTGAACCTTTAAAGCTTATTGAGAATTTGCCATTAGTAAGTAGCAATTTGCAGGTATCAATAGATATTTTGAAAGACAGATATGAGAACAAACTAGCTAGTATTTACTCTCATATTAAAGGCCTATTGGAACTTCCATCCATAAATAGAAGCAGTTCTGCTAGCTTATGTGATTTTGTTGTTTCTATAAAGCAACATACGGAGTGTCTGAAAAATCTCAGAGTTTCGGTGGCGGAATGGGATTTAATTCTGGTTTTTATTTTGTCACAAAAGCTAGATATTAATACTAGAAGAGTTTATGAATTAGAGAGGGGTCCTACACTAATGCCAACGCTGGTTGATTTCCTAAATTTTGTGGAGAAACGCTGTCAGGCTGCCGAGAATTTGTCTTCTCCAGAGCCTATCAAAAAACATTCTAATTTTGTAGAGAAAAAGTTATTTTGTCTATATTGCAAATTAAATAATCATATGATTTATAAATGTAAAAAATTTAAAGATTTAAAAGTTAACCAAAGGAAATCCTTTATTTTTTCAAACCACTTGTGCTTCAAATGTTTTGATTCACATCATGTTAAAGATCGTACTTTTAACAATTGTCCCGTGTGTGGAGAAGCTCATAATGCACTGTTACATGTAGATAATAGTACATCTAAGTACAATAACAATCATACAAACAATAGACATCAAAATAATTCAAACAACTTTCAAACGGCAAATATTAGACAAAATGTTCAAGAGAACAGGTTGGGTCATGTTGACAATTCTGGTTCAGGGTCCGCGTCGGGTTTAGCTAATGTGAGTGGTCAAAGTGGCCAAAATCAAAATTCAGAAAACTCACATACAGTGCGTCCCCATAGTTCACGTTCAGTATGTCCTGAAAACAACATTGTATTGCAGTCGAAATCTAGTTTTTTCGGTAGTGAAAATTGTCATGTTTTATTAGCCACTGCCTTCGTACAGGTAATTAATAATGATGGAAGTTTTTTGTCGGCTAGAGCAGTCCTAGACAATGGATCTCAAGTATCTATTATGACACGGAAATTGGCAAAACAACTAAGGTATCCAACGTATAGAAAAAATGTTGAAATTAATGGTGTTTCTGGCGCAGTACAATGCACTGAAGCAATTGATATTGAATTTAAGTCAACTATTGACAAAAATAAAAGGTTTAAAGCTACATGCTCAATTACAGATTTCAGTAGTTGCAAGTTGCCGCAATTTCCAATTGAAGCCGGCAAGTTAGAAATTCCTAACAATATTGTCCTTGCAGATTCAAAATATTACAATCCACAACATATTGATTTACTTCTTGGAGCAGAGGTGTATTTTTCATTGTTGATTCCTGGTTTAATTAACCTTGGTAATGAACTTCCAGTCCTCCAAAACACACACCTAGGTTGGGTTATAGGTGGAAATTTGCCTTCTTCGTTAATTTCGAATTTCATTGCAAATTGTGATCCGTTTAAGCCGTTGTCATTATTTATCAGTTCAGATCAAGTTGATAATCTATTACAAAAATTCTGGACTCTTGAGGAGGTTCCTAAGGACAATATATTGTCTACTGATGATGAAATTTCAGAAAAAATCTTTGTAGATACTACCAAGTTACTTGAAAATGGTAGATTTCAAGTCGATATCCCTTTGAAATCTTCAAATGAAAATATGAAGCTTGGAGAATCATTTTTATCGGCCAAAAAACGTTTTAATTCCCTTGAAAAAAGGTTGATTCAAAATCCTGATTTATTTAGTCAATATTCTGAGTTCATTGACGAATACATAAAGTTGGGTCACGCAAGGTATGTTCCTCTGGACCTTAAAAATAAAAACAATGAACATAAATATTTTATTCCGCATC